TATATATCTGAATAACGTTATCATTCATTACCCAAGCAACCAAATAAAGTTACTTTAGCAACAAAAATCTTTCAACATCGATCTCGGAAATCAACAATTTTCTTAAAAATAACTAACTATACTAAAAATGTTGTAGAACATAATATTTACAGCATGCCAATTAACACAATGGTTTAGTTTACTTTCACATAATATTTATATCGAGGAAATAGTCATATCAAATACAGCAAACCATTTTCCCACAGTTTTCTCAATTTTTCAGTGCCCCGTTTGTAGAATGGAAATCTGGCTTTAAGAATATTACAAAAGACATAAAACTTTTAAGTTTTTGATTAACTTCCTAAGAATGAATTAGAAGCATTTGTATTCACAAATGCAGTAACATAAAAAAATCTGTAATTTAAATATTAAGAACATGAGATACAAGTCTATCTTCAGTATTGTAATTCTAGAAAGATGGCAAAACAATATTAAACTTTTGCAATTTTTTAAACTTAAGTACACAATGAGAATTGGAGCAATGCCATCTTTTTAAGTGTACTTCACTCTATTCTTACAAGAAATTTAAAGAAAAAAATTTGGAGCCATTTTTGAGAAAATTTTGAAAACATCCCAAGGGTTTTATGTAAAGTACCCTCACATTTCAGGCATTCTTTTCAAAATCATAGGGTTTCAATTTGGGTGAGATTGATCAGAATCCTATGAATAGTTTGGGTGCTAGTGTTGTTCACAAACAGACAGACAGACAATGCAAAAAATCCAACACATTTTCATTGTTGGGTTCCCAAAATGTGTATTTGCTGTTAATTCTTGATATTGAGTTTCCACAGCATTATGCATTTTTTCTATAACATGCATTTAATTGCCAAATATGCATAAAGAGAAAATACTTTGCGATCCAAAGAATTTGTGTGGGTGTGTGCCAATGCCTGATACAAACAACTAGAACTGAAATAACTGTATTTTCAGACTTACAAAATATGTGTAAATTTAGTCCTAGAATCCTTATCTCTATCAGTGACTAAAGATGTCAGTAAAGTAATTTTATTTTCTTTCGTTCGTTCTTTCTTTATTTCTTCTTAAACGGATGGTAATCCTTAAACAGAAAAATTTACACGTAAAAGCTTACCATTATAGATGGGGGGGGGGGGGAGAAGATATAAAGTATGAGCCATTTAATGCAAAACTACAAAATTCAAGAAAGATACAAAGATAACAATCAGACATAAAACTGAAAAATAAAAACAAGAATAATATAATTTTTCACCATTAAAGTATTTGAGAAAATTGTGGCCATTTATATATTCATCATTCATAAATTTAAGGTATAGATCTTAATTTGAAAGATGAGTGGGATACCAAAATAATCAATTTGAATTCCAAATTTATGTGAAGACATATTAAAGGTTATCTCATTAATAAGATTGCTCTAATCAACACCATTTATAATTTTATGAAGAATATCATATCAGTAATAGTGCTTCGGTTCTGTAAGGTACTGAATTGCAATTTCTCTCATCACTAGAGCTCTGAAGTTCATGAAATGTTCAATGCATGTTTTTTGTTAATGGTCATATTTTCGTAAAAACTTCAAATGTGTATGTTTCATAACAAAATATTGAAAATAAGGTAAGGAATGATGTGCATATATCGCTTATTCGAAATATTCAGAGCTTTTTAGAAGATAAATGAACATTTTTGCATACTTTTTGCCTAAAATTATACAAAATATTTTTTAATGGTAAGCATAAATTTTCTTGTTGCTTCATATACATTACTAGAATAAGTTTGACAACTGATGGTCAATGCCGCCGAAGTAATAACTGCTGTCCTTGGTTTATAAAGAAGATAAAGAATTTGAGAAAAACCTTCGCAGATGCACTTACAATTATTCAGGTGGCAATTGATAAATTCATAGTAGCTCCTGATGAAATGGGGAAAGCAAATAAGAAGAAATTCTTAGAAGGAAATTGTTTTGTTTTTCCGTACAATGTATTGAGCACTAACATTGTCTCCCATGACTTCAAGTAATGTCAAAATATAATTTTCTAGGTACAAAATTAATTGCGCTCTTAATGCAAAATAAAATGTGCAAAAGTAATTTCCACTCTGTTTTTAATTGCATTTTCTAAGTGGCAAAAATATGTAATGTCATTTTAAAATACGTTTTTGTGACCAAACACTGCATGTCTTAATTTGTGTGTATCTCTTAAAAATTTTGAGGTGTATTTTCATGCATATTTCAGGACTATAAGCTTGCATGAACTTCCCATCTCTAGTATGATAGTAAAATGACAACAGTTTATTTAGTAAGTAGGATAGATGCTTCAGAAATCTATCCTTCCCTGAAGAAATCTATCCTCCCATCCTCTACACGGACTATGTCTTTTACAAGATAAGGCGACTTTTTTGGAGAGGTTTCCTAAAATGGGTCAAAAAAGGAGTTTTATATAGAAAAATATAATTTGAGTAGTTATGAAAATCCATGCAAGACCTGTTAATTAAACTAACCTTTTTGAGTGCCTTACTTTCTATATTGTCAATATGACAAGAGAAAGAGCTACGAAAGAAATAAGGATTACCAAAATCTCTGACAGAATATACAGAGGAGATAGCACCATCAAAGAAACGGTAATGGAAAATAACAGGATTATGTTTGATAGAAAAGTGAACCAATTTGCACTTGGTTGTATTCAGAGTTATTCCATCAGATCTCAACTCTCTTAAATTCTTCTTGAAAAAGTATAGCATCTAATGCTTCATTAATAGACTTGAAAAATTTAGCATCATCAGCAAAGATTAAGATTTTACCGTGGAGTAAATTCTTTAAAGTAAATCTCTTCAATTCATTGGATGTCCACCAATGCAGACAACATTTCATGCACTATTGAATATATTTTGAAATATATTAGAGAAAACTTGCTAAACAAATGGATGCAGGACTGGACAGTTTGCGAATCTTATGCCACGGAAATCAATAAACACGTTTTATTCATTAACTATCGGTAAAAAAGTGGGCCACGGACAGCTCGTAACCCTTTCTAGAATACGATTTTGCATTCCAAATTAAGTCCTTATTACTGAATACAAAAGTCATATCACTTGACATGTGAATTTTAAAAATGGTAAGTTGATTATGATCAGGTTTTTTAAGTATGTTCAGATACCTCTGTCAGAAACAGAACTGTAAACGGGATGTGAACATGATGCCATATTGCATTCTGTCCTAGGACTGGTATCAGCTGTGTTGATATCTATTTCTCTATCCTCTATGACTGTTCATCTGATGGAAACTTTTGTCGGACCTCAACTCTGTGAGCATGCCAAACCTTCTCCTCTTTCTTCCTTTCCCTCTCTCATTTAACAACTTTCACAAAAAGTTACAACTTAGGATGTTTTTTACTCATCGTAACTTCCTTTTCACAGTTGCCTTAAGCAGTTTTCTCAACTTGCACTGGTCATAATACTCAAATAAAATTGTGAAATTCCTTCAGTAATTTTAGACATAAAATCATTAAAATTTAAAAATATGTAAATGTATAACTATATATTTTAATTTCAGAGATCCAGATTTTTCAATAGTCCAACCTGGCAAAGGTATTTTAGCGAAGAGCAGTGATAACTTATGGTACCGAGCTATTGTGTTATCTTCACCAGAAAACAATAAATGTTCTGTAAAGTTTGAATCGAGTGGCAAAAAGTGTGAAGTTAATCTTCATGATACGATTCCTTTAGGTAAAACAGCTGCATTCTTTTTTTATTTTTTTACTTATTTAATAATTATTATTATTATTAATTTTGGAGGCAAGGTGGAGGTATCACATATCACTTGTAACAGAGGACAAGGACCAAACTGAAAGTGCTGAGTCTGGATTATCTGATGAATCTGACCAAGAAGTTGTCGATGTTTCTGTGGAGGAGTTTTTAGTTCAGCAGAGTTTACTGAGATCACCCCCCAACCTGGCTCTTGGTGGTTGGGAAAAATACACTAAGGTATGTAACAGAAATTAGGGAACTACCCTTTATCTTTTTTTTTTATTTTGAGAAAAAGAATATAATGAAGTTACTCAATAATAAAATGTGTGAAGGCTGTCATATTTGACTGGAATGACAAAAGCAAGCGTGAGAGCATCTTAGTTCAAAAGGTTTTGGGTTCGAGTCTTCCCTTGGAAGGAGGTGTGTGTGCATAGTAAGTGCATGTGCAGGTGTAGGCAGGGGTACAGGGAATGGGTGTAGGTGTGTGTGGTGTGTTTGTATGTACATAACTAAGAGTTCATTGTCCCAAGATAATCATTATTCCCCATTAATTTCAATGGCTAAGGACATGATAGCCGTTGACCATACACATGTTAGCTATGATATGGTACATAGCTGGTGTAATTAAAAAGACAAAAAGAAGTTTTGTTGACAAATATGTTGACGAATATTAACATTCTTTTAACTATTTTTTAAGTGAGGTCACAATTACCTCATAAGGAAACTTCCTTACTCTCAGTGTTACCGACACAACGTAACGTACGCAGATAATCTTCTCTCCCATATTTCACATACAGTTTTTACTGTTTTTTGACAAAATAAATTTAAATCTAAATGCCAACTATGACAATAATCTTTAAGGTATCTTGATCACATAACTTTTGGAAAATAGTTGTCTGTGATAAACAAGTGAATCACCAGGTCTCTAGATTGAAGTTTCGTGTAGCACATATTGCCAGGAGCCACATGTGGCCTTTAGGGTAGTCAATGTATACATATATATTCAATGTATAAAAATGTATGCTATGTGAATCAATTCCTTCTTAATATGGATTTAATTTTGTAATCTTTAAAATATTCCATGCACTTAGTTCTATTTACAAAGCAGATGCTCCATTGTACCCTGCGGAATAAGGGTTATTGAATAGGGTGACTAGACCTCTTCTTTTATCTGGACATGTCCTTTTTAAACCTTGGCTGGTGTCCGGCTGGATATTTTAAAAATCACGAAATATTTTTCTTTTTTTGTAACTTGCTCATCTGAGAGCATGATATTTTGAAATTATTTGTATTGACTCCTACTTACAGTAGTATGTATGTAGCAGCACTATCATTGGAATATTCTCTCTTTTCTGTGCAAATCGAGAGGTTCATTCAGTCTTGTTCTTAGTAATTTTATGAAATGTTCGTGATTTTGTTGAAGAAGGAAACACAAGATTTTTGTTTTGCTAGGCATATATTGCTAAAGATATATTGTGTCATTTTAAAATGCCAAAACAGAAATGCAAGTTGAACTTTCCTCTTGCAAGCGAAAATCCTACATACAATTTGAGAAGGAAGGATTGTGATGCTGAATGCAAAGTTTTGTGTAGCTGGAACCTTTGTTTCAAATAAATGTTTGTTAGTTTTGCATGTATCAGTACTTAACACCTGCCAGAATACATCAATAAAAATGCAATGACACATTATGTGACACATGCTACATCATTATTTTAAACAACATGGACTGTCCTGTTTTTTCACGAAGTGTCTTCCTTGGAGGATCTGGTCACTTGATTCTTGCCCACTGAAATTGTCATCGTGATGCAAGCCATAGAGCTTCTCATGGATCAGGGAGATAGTTTCCATAGAGATGGCAAGCAAGAAGGATAAAAAAAAAACGATCATACTATTTCTTGAATGGTTTTAGTGCTCATGTATAGTAAAATGTGTGTAGTATGTATGTATTAGGCACAACAACCTGTGAATGGGCTCAAGCCTACCGGCGATATCCCTATCTCGCGGCCTTGGGTTAAGAGAGTATGTGTGGTTAGCTTGAAGACATCTGCACGCCCTATTCCGGTCTTCTCAACCTGAGAAGTGAATTTTCTCATCGTCACACTGGAGCACATACTGGGACATCGCAAGGAAAACACAGGATATAATTTTGCGTGACCGGGAATTGAATCCGGAACTGCATAGTGGAAAGCCAGCATGCTAGCCATGAGGCTATCTCGTGTCTTGGATTCCCTAAAATTTGTTCATAGAGGAAGAACGCTTTATTCATAATGTGACACACATATTTGTTAATTTATTTAAAATCTTTTATTTATTTATTTTGCATAAAGAATCATTTAGTTAGATTTAAAATAATTGTAGGAATGGTTACAACAGAATTGATTTGACAAATATTTTAAATTGGTGAAATAGTTTTAGTAAACCACAATACAAACAACATTAGCACCTAAAACAGACAGGGATTTTTCAACAGTAGATATCTCATATGAATCTCTTTTCAATGTGTTTGAGGTGGTATCGATGAAAGTTTTATCTTTTCAGATTTATATGATGTTCATTCAATTTTTTCTAAATTTTGTCAAAAACCGCTTCAATTTTTGAAAAAATATATTTTGTGCTTGAATTGCTTAACAGTGCTCTGGGGAAGTCTGTTTTTCATTAGTGTGTCTGGATTATCCAAAAGTGCAAAACTTTATTATTGAAGCTGGAGATTTTTTCTTAACTATTTCTTCAATAATAGTAATTTTGTTTTGTTTTTTAAATCAGTAGTACATTGCGTATTTTCAATAAAATGGCGCCAATTTTCCAAAAATATGTAAACAAGATTTTCTCAACTACAGTTCCACATTTTTTGTTCATACTTTTTGTATGGATGTAGAGAATAAAGCTCAGAATTTTATGGTGAAAGTGCTGTTTTCTCTTAAACCTTCAAATTTTCGAAAACCACAAAGGTGTATAAGAGTTTTATTCTCATGGGAGTTTTCTCTCTCCTTTTAAAGAGGGACTTCGCAAGGAAGGAATGATATTTTGTGAATGAAGGATTTCATTTGGTTCATCAAACCAAATGAAAAGTTAAAATTTTTTGAAGCTGTATAGTAAGTAGCTTTTGAAGCTTCCATGACCTGTAAATGCTTGTGTCAGGTAGTAATCGGTCTCACCATGCTTTTGTTCTACCTAATTATTAATATTGTGTATTAGACTATCTTCCTGTTTTTTCTTTTCTCCAACGGTCTTGCCACATCTGAAAGAGCTCCTCTGTTGCTTCCTTCTTCACCCTTTCTTTCTGCTTCTTCCTTTCTGGGGTCTGCATTTCTTTCAGGTTTTCGTAAATAGATGTTCTTTCCTATATTAGTAGGTCAATAGGTGGTATGCTTGCTAGCACAAGGGCAGCACTTTCAGAGGCTGTTTGGTAGGCAGAGATGATCCTCAGTGCTACCTCTCTCTGTACCGACAGCAGCCTACACCTATACTTTTCTACTTTCATAGCACCAACCCATGCCGGAGCTGCATATAACATTTTGGACAGGACTGACCCTGCTACCAATAATCTTTTCTTTTCTCTCGGGCCCTCAACATCCGGTATTGGTTTGTGTTCGAAAACTCAAGCAATTATCCCTAAATAGGTAATGTGTTTCTTCCATTGTTTTTCATTGCCTCCCTCCTCTTATTCTTGGCTTCCTAAAGCCCATTCTCTTGGTGACCAGAACTGTCTCTGTTTTCTCTGTTGCTATGTCTAATTTCCGTTTATCCAACTATATTTTTGCTCTATGCAAGCTTTCATTCATTCATATCTCAAGGATGTCTTTGCTTCCTTCTGCAACTATAATCAAGGCGTCATCCGCAAATCCAATAATATTTATTTCCCTTGGGAGCGACATCTTTAAAAAGTCATCGTAAACCAAGTTCCATAGCATTGGGCCTAGCAGAGATACTTGGGAGGCTCCACACATCACATCTTTAATTCTCCAATTATCTCCTTCATATATGAGGCTTCTCTCGCTTAGGTAGTCACCTATAAGTTTCTTCAGGTAGACTGGGACCTTTTTTACATCTTCCCAGCCCAAGGAGTTGAATGCATTCTGAATGTCTGTTGCTCTAAGGATGCAAAAGCCTTTCTTCCTGCCACTACTTTCTCTTGCCATTTTTGCTAGTTTGACTGCTTCCCTGGTAGCGTCGATCGTTAATGTGCCTTTACAGAACCTGTACTGGTTATAAGCCCTATCATGTGCTTCTCCATTCCCTCTAGCATTATTTCCATGATACTTAGAAGGCAGATGGACCTATACGATGATGCTGTGACGTCATGTATACTCGCAGCGAACACAGACACAGAGCTTTCATATAACAAATATATTTATTAACAAAGAAAACACAACAAATATTTACAATTAATTTCCTTCTTACATCCTAGCTCTGATAGACCTACTATCCCCTGATCGCGGGAGCGATCCAAACCCGATTGATGATCGGTTTCGATTGTGGCATTCGCCACTCCTACTTCTGAATCGCGCACAAAGCCTAGCTTCCGTGACCGGATGTCACTCTGGGACACAAAGTCCGTTCTGGCATACCAACGGATGGTTTGCCTCGATCGCAGGAGCGATCTTATCCGATTGAGAATCGGCGTGAATCGTGGCACTCAACCACTCCTCACCGCAGTCACCCAAGGACACAGTCCTCCGCAGGCTTCGTCAACTTGTGACTTGCCTCGCGAGCCTGGCTCGCATATGCACCGTCCTGGCGCCAAATTTTGTGCACATGCACGAGGTTCTCTCACTGTCTCCAGAACTCACCCACTGGCTCTGAGCACTCCGTTATGTAGACGAGTCTCACGTGACCTACTACGTCACGCCACCCCCACCGCTGTTATAACAATTAAAGGTTTCTAAAGACCGGAAGACCCCAAAGCCTTGTATCTCCCGTTTCCGCGTTCTTGCTTTACGGAAAAACCCTTCTCTCCTTCCTGTGGCGAGGCTAATCCTCTAACAAGCGTCCCCAAATAGATGCCACGAGGCACGCTGGCTAATACGTTACAATGCACTATCCACCGGCTTATTCCTTAATAGTACAAACTTCTGAGGCTTCCAGTCTTTGGCAAAGCCTGAATCTCATACACTCATTGAAGAGTTCCAATAGAAGTTCCGGATACTCTGTGATGACTTCTTTCAGTATCCCATCCAAACCAGGTGCCTTGTCTGCTTTCGGGCATTTACCAACTTCATGCAGTTCATGGGTCGTGAACATGTCTGCCTCTCCCGTTTTGTTATAGCTGTTCCTTTTCCTTTTTGGGCATTTGGAAAATAGATGTCTAATTATTTCTTCAACCCACGTTTTATCATTTAGAGCAGAGATATTCTGTCTCCCATTCAACTTACTCACAACAATTTTGTAGGGCATGCCTCACATATCATTTTCAACATCTACTATCAGCTTTCTCCAACACATGTCCTTGCTTCTTATTGTGCAGTTGAGTTCCTTCCTCTTCCGCTTGTAATCCCTTTTAATATATTCATCCTCTTTCACCCTCGTACATCTTTTTCTAGCTGCTTCACAATCACTCCTTAGGTGGGCTATTTCCTGTCCACCAATATTTTGGTCCCCTACGATAACTCCTGACTGTCTTTAGGGGTATCAATAGATTGCAGGCACTCTTGATAACTGTTCAAGCCCTGTCTGACATAGTGTCCATTGTTTAGGGTTGAACTCCCCACCATAGCTCTTGAATGTATCTAGATTCTGTCAGGGATCTTTTTACATTCTCTTTGTTGAGCTTCCAAGCATTGTCCACTTAGGACAGTTTTCTTGCCTTTTAAAAGACTATTGTTTGGAGTAATGGCTTCCTACAATTCTAAAGGATATATTGTTATGGTCACTTAGAGACTCTTCCACTAGAACTTACCATTCTTCAATGTGACCTGCTAACCGCAGATTTGCAATAGACAGGTCAATTATTGGCTTCTATGGCGTCTATTGGCGTCTCTCCTATTGAATTTGGTGTAACTTCTTTATTTATTACCACCATGTCGTATTGGGCTGTCATTTCGCTTATTAGGATCCCTTTTCTGTCCATTCTTTCTTCGCCCCACTCAAGAGGTTTTCCATTGAAGTCTCCGGTCATCAGTATATCTCGTTTGGATTTGCCTATGCTCTCTTCCAGTACCTCAAGTTTATCCATGAAATGTTGCAGTCCATTGTTTGGGGAGAAATAATAAGTATATATTCTCAGGGGCTCTGTCTCCACCCACATAATCTGTGGTTACTCACCTTGATTCACGAGTTACATATGACGATAGCCGCTCTCCCTGCACTATCATGGTACCATTCAGCCTGGTCCTGTCAACAGTTAGTTTCACTAAGAAGTAGCACATCAATATTATTCTGACTTCTTGTCTGCATCAGTAAAAGAGAGAATAGAAGCAACTCCCTAGCCCTCGCAACTTAATACCGTTGGTGTCAAAAACACAAAGAGTTGGCCTATAAGAAGATTGGCCTACAGGACAGAAAACAGAAGTCTGTCACAAGTAAGTGGAAGCAATGACACACCAAGATTGTGGGAGGATGTTTAGGAAGTAGACAGCTGCTCCAATTAGTCGCCTTCCATGACAGGGGGAGGTCCCATGGTGCTATTCTACTAAAAACCCTTACACCATACATTATTATTGTTATTATTATTATTATTATTATTATTATTATTATTATTATTATTATATAATTTTTATGTTTTCCCCCTCCTTTCATTTTTATTTTGTGACTCAACTCACTTTAGTTTGTTTTGTCATCCAGCCTCACATATAAACACTTCACAGTAGCCCTACACTCCTAGTAACAATTCTTGTCAATAACTGAATAATACTGTGGCATTTTGGGTTCTTGAATGCAAGTATGGAATTAATTTTTAACAAGTTGTCTTTGTAGAAGTATTAAATTTTAGCACAGTCAAATTACAAGAAAATACATTCTACTGAAATAGTACTTAAAAATCTACTCTCAGGTTTGAAAGCGTTTTTTAAGAATCAAATCATGAGTTGATGGGCATCAAAAGCCAAAATAGCAACCTGTAAAGTATTTTGAACATGTTAAATTAAGAGGAATATGGTGGAATGAAGGTTCCATCAATAAGTATCTAATATGATACACTTAACTATACATGAATATTGTTGGATCCACAGTACTTGATAAGTATACATTCTGAGAATTGAATGAATTAGTGGTATGAAATCTATTTATTTAACAGGGGTTTGGATCTCGGTTGATGGCTCAGATGGGGTACATTACAGGCACTGGCTTAGGAAAGAACGGTGAAGGTCGCATTGAGCCTGTTGAAGCTGTAATCCTTCCGGCGGGAAAGTCATTAGGTATGTATAAATTTTACTAGTTTGTTTTGGAATTGCTGTGAATGTGTGTAATGTCAATTTTTTAAAATGTATATGAAAATAACAGTTTGTGGTTTTCTAGACCATTGTATGGAGTTAAAGGAACAAGCTGGAGGAGATGAGGATTTGTTTAAGGCTGAAAAGCGATTGAAGAGATTACAAAAAAAAGAGGAACAGAAACAAAAGCAATTAGCAGAACGTGAAAAGAATAATAAAAATATATTTGATTTCATTAATAGCAAATTGGGAGGAAAGAAAGGTAATAATAGAACTTTAAGTTTTTTTCTCCATCTGTCAATTAATTATTGAGGTTGGTGAAAGATACTGTACTATTGTATTACAAATTTCCTTCTTTTTCTTTCTTTAAACTTTAGTATCTTCCTTTTTGAAAGGTTACAATTCATTAATAAGAAAATAGGTAGCATTTCATATCCATATGACCATTTTTGCATGGTATCTTATGGTAATGAAAGAAAAGGAACACTTTACAGAAAATATGGTGTGGAATATGTGTGAGGAGTTTTGCCTGAAGGCAGCCAAATTTCTTTTGCTGAGATGTTCCCTAAGAGTTTTGTGATGTCTCTGGGAGTGTTGCTTTAGGCATTCAAATTGACTGTGAGATACCATAGGTTATTTTTGTATCTGCTGTTTATTTTCTATATCACCATCCAACCATCAACTGTAGATTGGGTTTATGACCCATCTTCTCTATCTGAGATATGCAGTAAACAATTAACTGGAACAATGACTCTATATGTATTTTGTTATTTTGAAATAAACTGCCTTGCATTAATGCTCAATGTCTCACAAATGTTCTGTGAACTTTATATTAAAATAGAAAAATATGTTAAGGTCTTAAGTATGTAAATCAGATATACTTTTCATGAACATTTAATGATTATATTGAAATAACTTTTATATCACAACACTTCTATTTATCCCTTACATTTTTATTGTTGTATAGGACATGCTCTTTTTTAGTTTGAGAAGTACTGATTTTTGTTTTTTTTGTTTTTGCCTCTCTAGGTGATATCAGTGATCTCCATGCAGGAGGGACTGATTCAAGATGCAAACGCCAAGTGTCCACAAAGGACTTGCAGTCTAGAAGTAATAAAAATCTAAATTTGGTTAGCTTGCAAGTTGATCAAGAAATAAAACGTGCTGAACAAGAGATTGCAAGAATGCAAGAATCTCTAGTTCGACATGCAGAAGGAACTTCATCATACAAACGGATTGCAGGCCAGTTACAAGACAAGCATGATGCTTTGAAGCAGTTGAGGTTATCTGAGAACAATATTAACCAGGAGAGTAAGAGAAGAAAAGATCATAAAAAATTGACCATATTCTAACTGACATCACATTTTGGTTTGATGCATTTTCCTGTTCTACAAACACGTATTTAATTTTTTTTTAAATGATTATTTTGTAATAATGTGAGCAATTATCTGTCAAAATTGGCAGCGACATTTATTTAATTTTGCGTATTAAAAATAAATTACCTTATATCAAGTGGGTGTTTTTTTTTTTTTTTTTTTTAAAGAAAATTCTTGTGACTATGAAATACAGATTTTTATGTTAATGACCCTTTTCTGTGTTGCATTAACACAAAAGCCTGTACAATCAATATTTGAGAATAAAGTAGTAAATTTTATTAATTGTCTCATAATAAAATATAGGAAGTTTGTTGATTCAAAATATTTTTGAAACTATCACTTTTTATTTTTTCTCTCTCTTTGACATTAAAAAAACATTGTATTAATTCGCCGGCAGATTATTCTGCATGTTGTAAATCATTGCTTTGTAAAAATGGCTTCATACTGAATCCTAACTTCGCCAGGATGAGTTGGCTCAGTCAGCTACTGTTGCTGTTGCAGGAGGTTGCACTCTCATCAGGAGGTTCTAGGATTCAAGTCCCGATCATAATTGTTCGACCTTAGCCAGAGAACTAGGTTGAATTCAGCCACTGTCTGGATAAGAATTCTAGCAACTGGCTCTACATATGTTGTTTTTTCTTATTTCTCTTTTCTGTACCAGGTGACAGCTGGTACAGTTCCCTAACAAATGGTCCCCAGACCGCACACTATTTTTCCTTTCTCATTTTTGCCTCTCTTCTCCCTTTACACACACTTACCTGCACTTCACAACTCCTCATGGGAGACAAGTCGAGAACCTAGAGCTTGTCCCAGCCAGGGTGTTGCCCCACTGGTGAAAATACTCGGGACAGAGAAACTCGTGCAAGCTGGTGACAGATATCACATTCCAGCAGGGGAGGAACAGAGGCAACTCCATTAATGACATATACTAAACTTTACAGACTTAAGATCATTGTATTTTTTCTACCTGGAAACACAAAATAGTCTTTCTAACGACCAGTCTGAATAAACATTCTAATATCGAAATTAAGTTTTATAATAATAATGAGATTTGATTTCACAAAAAAATCAAGTAGTCAATTTGTTTATGTATTCCTTCAGTAAAAGTTTATATGGATTTAAAGTTACTCCTTATATCTCCATGCTATGACGTAGGAATCCCCAGAAGAGCTATACCTCCAACATGTAATAGAAAGTTGAAAATGATCTCATTTTGTAGAATATTGCTCAAGAAATAACTAGGGGTCCCACCTGTCCCCGCTTGACCCACATCTTTGCCCCAACAAATTTCCAGGGTATTACCTGCACACGTTTCAATCCTATGTAATCTCCTCTGTTCCATCACATGTTTATTGCCAAAAGATTGCACATTTAGATCAAAAGTAGAAGTAACTTCATAATGGTACCTATAACTTTGCTGACCTTTCTGTGCTACCTTCAAAACCACCCAAAATTCTCAGTAGTCCCAATTTTCTGTATACGAGATATAATTTTTGATGTGGTGAACCACAATGTTGGTCCTTAAAATAGTATCAAATTAGAACACATTTTTTTAAAAGTATTATACCTCTGAACACAAAAAATCATTACTGAACGGGTTAAATCTGTTTGATGCAGAACTGGACAGTAATTCTCTTATCCAGTAGCTGCACATTTATGGAGTTTTGTGTTGATAGTTTCTTATAAATGGTACAAAACCATAAACCCATTACAGTATTAGAGGGAGAAAATGATTTTAAAACCATTTTTTCACTTCTATTAAAGAAAAAAAGTGCAATAAAAATACTCGCTTTTGTCTCGCCTAATGTCCATATCAGATAAGAAATTTCAAATAAAAACAAATGGAAAGGCTATAATGTGACAAAAAAGTTTAATGAATTTAGAAAGTACACACAGGAATTTCCTGTGAACTTTCAAAGCAATCTTTTGAGTCCTATTTAAAAATCATTGTTATTCATTCATGTTGAACTAATTTTATGTATTTCATGATAGAAAAAGCTAAATGTACAAAATATCTTTCAAAATACTAAGATTACAAATTACTGGGGAATAAATGAGCATATACCAGGAGAAACGTGCGATACCTTGCTGGGACATTCAATTCTTTCAACTATTAAAAACCGTTTGTATCATTGCTTCTGTTACGTAGCTATGGTATTCATTAGTTGGCAATTGTGGAGCAGGAAACACTTTCTCCATGTCATTATTAGAACCAACTATGATCAGGAAATGAAATGTGAAAAATTTTCAATTCATATTCATATGTATTTCACTGTAAGGCAGACCTTCAATTACGATTAACTTTCCATGAAATAACATTTCTTCACATGTGTTTTGTTTTCTGACTATTTTGATTGTTTAATAACAGTTACAGTTTTCCTTGATCACAATCTGAAAAAATGTTGACGAAAACAATACTGGAGAATACTTCAATAAACATCAGGGGTAGGGGTATTTAATGGGGCTTTAGTGCTAGTTTTTACATTCCTGTACTATCAAAAAGACACTGAATACTGCAATTGAATATGAATAAAAAAAAAATAGTGCCTCTGAAAACATATCCTGGTTGCGTGACAACGGACAAAATTGTATTTTTGCCAAAGAATTTTTTGCAGTATTACATGGTTTTTTCTATGTAGGGGGGAGTATCAGTAAAAGATTGATAATTTTAAATGAGTAGAATGAACGAAGGTCGCTGTTCCATTTCACGCAGTCCAGAATCAAGCCTACAGCATATATTTACTAATAATGGTAAATTTTTCATTACCATTTGACGTGCAGTTTTAGGAGTTTGCTTAATGTAGAGGTAAATTAGTAAGAAAATGCAAAGAACTTTAGTCATCAGAAGAATCATCATTAGTTCAGAACAAATCAGTCATTTATTATCACATACAAACTATACATCACAATAAAAAAAAATATCACAACAGTTCTCTCAAGAGCTGAATATTTAAACACATCTCAAAAGTTCATTCTATCTTACCACACAAAAATAGAACAGAGAGCCTAAGTAAATGGAGTTCTATACGAAAATATTTTTTTTTGGAAGTGAACAAAGCAGATTGGTATTTAACAACGCTAAAACAGTTACGTTTTCCAGCAGCTTCTCGGGAAAGAACCTATTTGGAAATTATATTTGTTTAAATCATACAGCATCAGCAAATCCAACGCGGTTGTTGCCCATATCAAACTCTGTATAAAATTTGCCAATGAAAACATCTCCCAATATCCACAATGGGCCATGTGGGGGAGGAATATCTATTCCCATAAATCCTGAGAGGCAAACTGTTTTACCCAATTGAGATACCTGCAAAATAATTTTCATGAAATGCAATGTCACAAATGTAAAAAACTGATTTTCAAAAAGCATTGAAAATTTAGATAATCCCAAATATTAGAATACTTACTCTCAATATGTAGTCTTTGCCATCTAAGGAGTATTTCTTACCGCCAAGTACAAAATCAATCACTGGGAGGTTGGGAATAAGTTTACAATCAACCTACAACAAAGTTTATCAAATGACAATTTGTTTAAACCAAAATAAGTGAAACCCTCATTCCAAGATTCCACTACATTCAGCTAAATCGGAAAAAGCAACATATGCTGATATATTTAAAATATCATTTTGTAAGATTATGAACATATAAATAAAATATACTCCTCTGGGGGTATCTAGTATTAAAGTTGAAAAGAAACATTATTAAGCAGCAGAGAAGTGAACTACTAGCTGAAATCTTTATCACATTAATTATACTTAATTTACCCTGATGTAACAACTCTTACCCGTAAATATTTCATTAAAAGATATCGGTTTGCCTTAATTTTGCACATTAAACCTACTTGGTTGGGAACAACTGCCTTGCATGTCAAGGAACCTAAACACTAACATATCAATAAGCTGCGAAGGTGACAATAAACTATGTCTGTCTTATGGGTGATTTTAAAATGTATGTAGAATATTGATCAATATGGTTGTAAAAATCCCACTCTTTATGGAGCAGATATCAAAAATAATTTTCACTTTGGAAGTTACAGTGAGTGTTGCCAATATCATGACTTCAGCAGCAATATTTATTCAAATCTCTTCTCTTCAATTGCAAAGCATGCCCCCTTTTAAGGAACCTATTATTCAAGGTTCCTCAATAGGAGTGTAAGTTCAGAAGTGAGAGTTATGTCACTGTGACTAGTTCACAATCCTAACAAAATAAATTTCTGCTTTGCATATTTTATGGAAACTACTTATGAAGGATACAAGGCTCTGATTCATTACAAAATAAACAAACCAGTTAATGTGAATTTCAAGTTAAAAGTTGTCAAAGAAGAAAAGGTTACAATTAATCCAGTTGGAATAAAATGTGGACTCACAGGAGGGAATATTGTCAAGTTGTATCAGATTAAAGACAAAAAATTCAAATTCAACATGCCAAACCTTTTCAGGGAACCTAAAAATTAAGAAGACAGCCTAGTATGGGAAGAGAAAGGAGTTAAATGAAGATTAAAATGGTTGAGACAAAAATGATGACTACAATCATGATTATGTGGAAGAAGAAAATAAGTAAAACGCTTCAGGTGAACTATGTAATCATTGTGTTCCATTGCAAAAAAGAAGCGGCAGCAACAACGGTCAGAGTATTGGGATGCTGTACCCAAGTTCGCAGGTTCAAACCTGATTGAAGCCGTAGATTTTAAAGGGCAAAAAAATCCTTCATACGCCTCCCTTTGAAGGGGAAGTAAACCAACCCATCTGTCCCACATTAGTAGATTTACTGCATATAAAAAAGATAAAGCCTAAATGAAGCCTCTGAGCCAAATTCAAATCACCCAAGAAATACCTCCTTTCTCCCCTAGTTGGTGAAAGGAGCATAGCAAAATTTGCATGATCAGACAGAAGAGCAGGCCTTGTGGCCCGAGTCTCGCCAAGTAAAGCATCAATTCAATAAGCTTGTCAATTCTAGTATCGCCACTGGGGAGATGTTTATTACACCACAAAATTGTTTGAGTTTACTTCTTAAAACACATCACATGGTTATTTAGAAGTGGGAATTTTCGAACATTTCTTTTGAATGAAATCAGTTTCACAAAAAAAAAAGACCCTTTGAGGTGGTTTGGTTAAAAACAGTTTCGTTACTTTCAAATTCCTTGATAATCATTATTTAAATTCATGAATACAAAAACCCTACTAATTTCAATGGTATTTCTCATTAGACAAACTTCTAGCTACAGATACTACATACCATGTACTCTCCACCAACAATAGGTGTAGCTCCAATTGCCTGATTAAGTTTCTGAACTTCCTGAAGAGGTCCAGCAATAAGACTAGTACCAGTATCGGCAATAGCTTCACATCCAGAACTGCAGAACTCGCCAGGGCTCTGTCCATTTACTTTAATCCTACAATACAAGTCTCAGGTCAGCGATTTGCAGTAATAATTTTTGTGATTTAAACCTTTTCTTTTTTGTACTCACTTGTCCATTTTGAACTGCCAATACATTTTTTTATCTACAGGAAGGTAGGTAAAATTTCCTTTATAATATTTTGGATCCGAGCCACCTAAAATCAACTCTCCACCTTGAGGGGCTTGTGGGTCTCTAACAGAAGAAAACAAATACATTGAGAGTTTTGGACATAAATTGTGTATGATTTAACATTATATTAAACATGTTATTGCATTTGTAGACAAGATGTAATGCCAAAACATGGGTCCAGGGGCAAATCCATCTGATCATTTGAGAGGGGGGGGGGGGCAGGGCATCAAAGATTTTTATTAAATAATAAACACATTTGTTATATTGCAAACTTTTTTGTAGTGTATACATGATAATTCTAACATAAATATTTAAATCAATATTGCCAAATAAAGGAAGGTAACAAATGAAACTAGGTCGGGAGGGGGGGGAGGCATCTTCTGGATCTGCCACTAATTGGGCATAACCATTCTAAATCTGTACATGCCTTAACTGAGTAACAAATTTATCCAATCCACTTTTCAAACTAAGTAATACAAACACCTGTTTGTATTAATAAAGCAAGGAGGGCCAAAATGAAAGTTTTGGAAGGATTTCCAATATTTGCTAAACAAAATAAAAAACTAAACATGTAAACCTATTAATAGTAACACAATATACATATATTGTTACGAAGTAATTATAATAAGTTTATTCCCATAAATAAGAAAATTACCTGCTAAGGTAAAATGAAAACACTGGAGCCTGCACCAATCCTTGTCTATACATATTGTAAAACACTGGTGTCACACCATCAACTGATATTGAACTGTATGCCATTCCTAAAATGCCATCAAACTTTGCAGCAACAAATGCCAGGCCAGGTTCACTGATTGCTTCAGCAAAGGTTTGGTCAGCAACTGATAAACCACCCACCTGCATATAATAAATACATATATTTGTAACTTTCAATTACTTATTTTAAAAAGGAAAAACAAAAATGCTTACATTGACAACATCAGTTGAAAGGAAGCCAGACAAACTGCCAGAACCATAACGTATTTCAAATTCAGTGCCATTTTGCTTGTAGGAACTTGATTTTTTGCTGTCATATTTATTGTGTAACACTATAAGAAAGAAAAAAAAACAACTAAATATGAGAATCAAGATTAGGATTCAGGAACTATGTTGTTTCATAAAGAGCAATCAAAAACTTACAGCATGCTATACTTGTGTAGTGACATTTCTTTGAAGGAACCCATAGATTTGAAGAACCTGTGTCAAAAACAACTCTGAACTTCTGAGGAGGATTTCCGATGCTAATTGGTCCATAATACTGAGCCTGGAATAATTTTACAATTAAAATTTTCCAAACCTTTCTATTAATAAATAAAATATAATAATTAAGGTCTTTATGGCAAAAGCTAAGCAAGTTTTCATAATGTTAAATCAAACTGCAAATCAGCATTTCAGGAAAATTACCTATCCTAACTGTTGGTTACAGTTTTTTCAAGGAGACATGTGAATTTCCAATTGAAAACTAAGCACCTAAATTTCTGGAGAAGCTTAATTCAGATAAAATATCGAAATAGATGTTTCACAGTCTTCCAACTTCCTGAAATAGTGGACAACCTGGTACTTGGAAATATTTTGTGAAAACAATCAAGTTTAATTAATTTCATAACAGGGTATTCCCCCCCCCCCCCCCCCNNNCCCCCCCATATCTATTCAATAAGACAAAGAAGTCAACTCTTATCATCCATTGCAACTTACCATAAAAACATGATTAAACCCAACTCTATTTTCTGCCAATGACATTGGTTGCACCCTTGTCTTGTTTCATTACCAAGTTAGAGAAGTACACTCAACAAAAGAAAATCCAATTAGAATTGCGATTAAAGAAAATGTACTATCCTTTCAATTTTCATTAAGAATTCCTATGTTGTTTTATAATTAATGAAAGGATCTGCAATTGCATGGTTAATATATATTCTTAGACAATTATAACTGCATTATTCCCGAATCGAGAATACTTTCCTATGTTGATAATAAAATAAAGCATATCTTGAAATAAAGCAAAAGTGTGAAATTTCTTTGGGGAAAAACATATTTATGAGTTTGGAGAAGTATAAGCATGTTTTCATTGGTGAATTACAATAAAAGTTAGAGTGGGAGTTTTCTTTTTGGTACCTGAATGATTTCTGTAATTTTTTTAAAACAACTTACATCGAGGTAATTTGACAGAGGTTCAGGGGTGGGACCCCCATAACGAATGCGCAACTGCTGCACCTCAGTACCCACAGATTGTAATGTTCTTCTTGCTGTCTCTACTTTATGAAGGGGCACACTGAAATAAAAACATTAATCTAAATTGAAGAGTGTTCAAAAACTTGTATCAGTAAAGAATCATACCTTTTGTCCCATTCGGATTTGATGACATATTATAAATTAAAATATTTTTAATACATAAACAGCGAATGAAATAAAATAATGACAGTATATTTCAAATATTCAACTTACCGAACAAGTTCTCCATTACACCACACAATGAAGGCAACTAAGAAAATAAAACGTAACATAATATTTTGCGAGTTACGAATCCTTCAAACGTTGAATCTTCCCAAAACACCGGTACCTTCACTAGTACGTTCACGCTGTATTTAACACACAAAGTGAACAAAAGAGTGAGGGTAGATTCTTGAGAAGAACAGGACTGAAGCAATCTAGTCACGCAATGACATTTACAACAAAAATAGGCACAAAAGAATAACTAAAATAGACGTCACGTCCTGACTACATGAACACTTGCCTCAGTTAACCCCCGTCCCGTTCCTCGCCAATCCCACAGGATCTTTATCGCACCGCGGTTTTCAATGGTTTCCAATCCAGTCAACCAGTCACTGTCACCAGCAACCAGGCCAACAGCCCCTGTGTCCCGTCGCCACTCAACAAGCTTACGCATACATCACATGACGAAGCAAAACATGTGACCAGAGAGCATGTGACTGGGATCCTGGAACAAACATACATAATTATAATAACATATATTAATTATTTACGTTTATTTTTACTTACTGAACGTCGCTAAGAATTCATCACAATTGCCTAACGTGGCTAAGAATATTCGATTGCAACCACGAGCGACATATCGTTCCTCAGATATTCGCAATCTTCCGCAGTTTTTCTCAGGGGAGTATAATGAGTGATATCTCAGGAAAGCGGAAAGGATATATTCGTCTCTGTAGAAACATTGTTGAAATGTATTTTATTTACGAACAACTACCTATGACTTACAGTGTATCTAATGAAACAAAGTTCTTGAGAAAATGCTGAATTAGCTCCATTTACTTTCAAAGGCAAGTTTTCTCGCTTCGCTCGCCCGGATCCAAGTCACGGCGAGACTCGGTCCTTCGCGAACTTCGTGAACCTCGCGTTCACTATAAACATCCTTGAGTCTATCCAACGCATAATTACCAATTCACTTTTATAAGACATCACTTTTCAAGAAAGCCTCCAGAATTGTAACTGCCTAGTTAACGCCAAAACTGCGATAAGTGCCTTAAACGACTTCCTTAGGTTGTACCAAATACATTTCAGCCGTAAACCGTTCTTTTTCGTCATCTATGTATTAAGGTTTAGGTCCTATGGCCTGTTCCTTGTTTCCAGTATTCTCCTTCACTAGGTAAGGGTGTTCCTGGTCCTATCGTTTCCTCTTGGTCAGTAGTTCATTACCATTTTTGGAGTCGATTTGGTTGCATTCTTTTTATGTTTTTTGCCTGATTGTTCTCCATTTCAGTGACCATTTTCTCTGTTTTCAGTCTTTTGTCTTTTCGTGTTACTTGTAGCATTGTTCTAAGATACCTCGTTTGTGCTGCATTCGTTCTCTGTTTGAGTGACCATTTTTCACTGCCACATTGCAGGGTTGGTTTTGCCTCTATGTTGTGCATTCTTATTTTTCTTTCTTTATTCATGTTTTGGAAGTGTCTGTTTATACAGCAATTGATCTTGTTAAATTTTATCAGTTTTGTTTCAATGCATTCCTCTTACTGACATTTTGTTGCCTCGATATGTGAAAGTTGCTACTTGTTCAATTATCTATTTTTACTTCATTTAGGAGTTATTTAACAATATAAATTCAGAAATGCTGCCTGGTGTTGCAGGTTGTATTTGACATTAATATTTTGGTTCTACAACATCATCTAGTGGATTTACAACAAAATTAACAGCAGATACACCTTGTGAGTGAAGAAACATGTAGATGTGCCAACTTTCATGGAGGTCGGTCACATGGTGTTGGAGTTTACCGCTCATATATATCAACATCCATTTTCATATACAGTAGAGTAGCGAATCGAAAGTAGAATTCAAAGTGGACAGGACTGGGCCTAGCTCGAATTAATGAAAACTCACATTATCGAAAATGATTAATTTATTACAATAAAAATATAAACACAACTTTTATTAAATTTCAAAGTATGTATATGTCAATAAAAAATGTAGGACATGCATAATAGTACATTAAATGTTGATGATAAGTTAATTACAACTTTAAGTAATTGTCAATTGTTTTTTATTTAAGTACATTGTTTCTTTTACGTGTGACAATATTAAGCTATCTTCTGAAAATCACATTGGCGGGTGGAGTTTCCTTAGTTTTTCGTAATAACAAATTAATAGTAAATGAAAAGAAAACTGTTTCAATGCAGTTCTCCATTTCAAATAAACAGCTTGACACTTCACTGAAAATAAACGGCGTGCCATTGACTGATGTTAAGGTAACAAAATTTTTAGGTCTTTCAATTCAGACAAACCTTAAATGGCACGTCCATTTGAATGAATTGAACACTTAATTAAGTTCTTTATGCTATGCTTTCAGAATTCTTTCAAATTCAGTTAGCCTCCACACTGCTTGTGTATATTTCGCAAATGTTCATTCCCGCCCGAGATATGGCATAATATTCTGGGGAAATACATCTTATAGCTCCCAGACTTTTAGATTACAAAAACAAATTGTATGAATAATAGGCAAATCCCACCCACGTGATTCTTGTAAGCCTCTCTTTATTAATCTAGGTATTTTACCATTACCACTCTTAATATACGAATCAGTGGTTTTTGTAAAAAAGAAGACTTACTTAAGGCCGGGAATATATTTTCAGCAAATGCTGTTGTCTATGACTACAACATTCGATGTAGTAATCACATTCATCAGGTAACAGTATCAACAGCTCACTACAAAAAATTCACATATAATACATGTACCTTATTTTACAACACCTTAATGCCAGATGACATTAAACAATTAAATTCTATACAAAAATTTAAGTTCTAAGTAAAATCTTTTCTGCTGCACTACTGTTTCTACACAATTAGATATTATACTGAGCATCCAAAAGGAAAGTAATATTAATTTTTAAAATGACATTTAATGTATTATAGATCATTTGGATTCTATAATTGTAAAGAACCTGTAACAAGTATTGTACTTCAGCGTTTGGGTGAATGACCCCCATCTTGATCAGGTTTTCATCCAGTTTCCCTGATCCTTGTGCAAATGCTGAGATGGCCCCTTGTTTTGCTTCTGGACATAAATGTAACGTCAAATTAACTACTCCCCATAGCACATCATACACAGTTTTTAACTGTTTGTGACATAAATAAATAAATAACATTGTTGTTCTATGTATGTTATAATGACCTCTAGCTCAGCAATATCCTCGTTGTGATTCACACATGGAGTGGAATCAATTTAATGAAATACATTTTAATTGGTTTTCAAAAAACGTTATTGGACATCATTTGAAGCACTCACAACGAATTAATGTACACAAATCGCAGGAAATGTGCTTGTTAAAGGCATTGGAGAAATTAAAAAAAAAATATTTGTGTCATTTTTGGAAAAAAAAAAACAAACGAGAGTACAGCATAATGAATTTGATATCTTAAAATGTGCAATTATCACTCTTTTTGACAACTTCAAAGAAAAAATTTGGTGCTGTTTTTGAGAAAAACATGTAAACGTTTCTGAAAATGTGGAATTTTGAGCTTGTTTTCGCAGGTTTTTGAGAAACATTTTAAGACATTATTTAAAGCACATGTACTCAGAACTGCAGTAATGTGAACAAATTGCTGTGAATGTAAATATTAACCCTTAACATTTAGTCTTTGTGGATATTGAGAAGGCTTTTGATAATGTCAACCGATGTAAATTATGGAGCATTATGAAAGGAGGAGGGTACCCAAGTCATCTAGTGCACGCAGTATATTGCACGGTGTTCCTTGTTCAAGACCCTTAGCATATGATCGTGTGTACGTTTTGTCTAAAATAACAACGTAATTATATTTTAACGATTATTATGTCGGTGTGGAGTCTGTGGACCCCACCAGACAAGTAGTATATGTCAACTTCAATATTATATTTAAGTTTCTTCACTTCTGTATCTTATTTATGCATTTTCTCTAGATTCGGTTGTCTGTAAATCTGTCTGTTGTTCTCTTATCAAGAATGCATCATTGCCATCAAAGTTGATCCTAAAACAAAAGGATCAATATGATCAATGATTACAATACCTACACGCTTACAACCAGTATGTTGTAGGAAGATACCAAAAAACAACCCAAACTTTTAAAATTTTCAAAACCTCAGAACTGAAAAAACAAACCTATGCCACCTTTATAGGCATATTTCACTCTTCTCTTACCAGAAATTTGAAGAAAAAATTTTGAGCGAATTTTGAAAATGTCCTTGGGACCGTATGAAGTCAAGACAGGGGGATATCTATTTTGGAAAAAATCTTACATATGGTATAGGCACTAGTGGTGTTCACAGACAGATCAACATTTGAAAATAACACTTTTTCAAGCATCAGGGGACACCATAGTGTGTTTCCATTGAAATCTCAAAATTGATTTTACATAAAGTTTACACAACTTTCCGTACACTACGTACAGTAAAAAAGCAGGAGTACACAACTGTGATTATGTATGTGATAAGTTTCACAAAATCTTTCTTGATACTCCAGCCATTTTAAAGTTTTATCATTGCCTCGTAATTAATTACAATCAGATGACCCAATATTGAAATATAGTGCAATCAAGAAACTGTTATGAAAATTTAGCCATATTGATTTAATTACTAAATAGTAATTTGGGATGATTCACTATACTTATTCTCACCATTGTAAAGGAAGGGAAGGATGCAGAGTGAAAATCAAGTCATTGCAACAAAGTATTAATTAACAGCTATTCCAGTTATCTAAAATTTAAAAAAAATTAAGGTCTATTAACCCTGATCATATCAGGATATTAATTCAATTTTTTTTGCAGAGTACAGCATTTACCCGAATATAAGTACTCTGAATATATGACAACCCCCTGATTAGAAGAGACCTGAGAACTTTTTTTAAATTTTCGACTAATTCTTTCTATTTAGTCAATTTAAAATTGCAAATTGTTTCACTGACTATAAAATTGACTTGTTGATGAGGATGTTAGACTTATTGCATGAACTATCATTTTCTTTTTCCTTAAAATCATCATAATCATGTTTTTTGTCACTACCCTAATCATCTTCACATGTCAATGTTTCTTTCTTTTTGATTTTCCATTCGTGCTGTGATATTCTCGTGACTTTTTAGGTGCCTCTGAATGTTGTGTGCTGATTTTGCGTTGTTCAGTCTTTCATCTAACGCCACCTACGAACATTCCCTCAGTGTCACTGGATTTTCTATCTGCCCCACTTTTGTTGATGGGCAATATACGAGAATTTGAAATTAGTATTATTTAATATTTATGTGATCAAGTAGTGAACACCGAACTAGTACAAGTCTGATTCTGTTTTGCAGGTAATAGTATGGATGGGAAATAGTGACAAATTTTCCAGTTTTGGGTAGTTTTTACTAAGAAAATTTTTCTTTATAGCCCTTTTTCAGTGGTTTTATGTAAAATGCATATGTCTATTAATGTGATTTTTTTTTCTCTTGCTGATTTGCACCCGAAGGGCATTGAACTGAAATTCCACGCGGCCTCCTTGTAACTTCATTGTGTAACAAAATCTGTGCATTCATTTTTACTTTACGCTTCATTTGATACAATGCCATTTTTTTTTTAAGAATCTCTCATTAATGTCTCATTCAAAAATATCGGTCTTAATTGACCAGCAAATTCGTGTTAGATGCAGAGAATACAAATAATTACTTATTACAGATATGTGCAATATATTTAGTCTTCACAGCTGATGCTTCTTCAACATTTACGTATTTTGGAACATCAAAAGGCAGTATAAAAATATAAAGTCTAATCGAGTAGGCATAATTTACGAATATAAGACGATCCCCCAATTTCCGACTGTGATATTTTAAGATTATTTTTCTTTAGTATTGAAGGCAACAGCTAAATATTAACCTTTCTGTATTAGAAGTTTTAAACATAGTTTGATTTATACATTAAAAAAGAGTAGAATCTCTTTCACTCTACCATCTTATTTATTTCAAGTACCAATGTACATGATTCTTTCAATACCTACAAATAGTGTATACAATCAAGGGCAAATTCAAAAATAATATGGTATATTATATAATAAAAAGTATACAAAACACATCATGAAGAACAAATTATCAAGTAGCAAATTTTTATTTATCTTGCAAGAGCAAATCCAACACGATTTTTTCCTAAATCAAATTCAGTGTAGTACTGACTCATAAAAGCACCTCCAATAACCCATGTTTCACGAGTTGAATTGTAGTCCCAAGCAACAAATGGAGATAGACAAAATGTTACTCCAAGTACATTCACCTGCAACAAACATGGCATTAATAATAATAATAATAATAATAATAATAATAATAATAATAATCATTAATGGATTATATTCATAGCAAAACTTTTAAATAATTTCAATGTCATACCACTGTATCACTTCAAACTTCCTGCTATCAATTGAAAATCATCCAACACAATCAAAGTGATATAAATCGAACAGATTAACTAGCAATATTGAGTGTGGGTGATACTGTATAAGATATTGATTAGTGTGCTAAATCAAAAAGTAATACAATTATTATATAATTAAAAATATGAAAGAGTATCAATGGAAACAATAAACCACACTTACTTTCAAAAAAGTTTTAAAAAAATACTGCAATTTGATTGAAAATTTAGAAAATAAATTAAAACAATATTCTTTTTTGTTTTCTTGAAATAAGGAACACACTCTCTAGCAGCATTTAAAACATAAATATTTGAGCACATCATTTAAAATGTAAGCATAACAAACAGAATGTAAGTATGTAAATACCTTTTGAATGTAAACATGTGATTCAACAATGAAATATTTTTCTGCGAATACAAAAGATAGTGGAGGAAACTTTTGAATTAAATTGCAGGGAACCTGAAAAATTAAATTAAATTAATTATTGAGAAAGATCTAGAGAAAATACTTATGAAAAACATATGAAGCAAACAATTGAAAATAATTGATGTTTTAAAAAAAAAATTGAAATAATTGTTTGTGCTGTATCTCTTTATTAATAAAATCAATCTTTACAGAAAAATCAAATATAGTGAACCAAAAATGTTAGTAACCTGAAGTTCTCTATAACGGGAATTGACTGTAAGTCATACAATAACAACAACAACAACAACAAAAATTGTTCAAAGGAATAGGGATAATGGCTATTGGAAATGTATATGTGAAAGAATATTTATCTACATGAGAAAACAAACATTTCATAATTTTTTGTCAGCTTCTTGCACTAAAGTGATTATAAAATTAACACATCATAGCTTCCAAATCCATTTTCTCATTCACAGGTTTTGTTTGCACATCCCTGTAATGCATAGAAATTAAACTGGTAGGGGACAGAAAATAAATTTGGAAATACTCAGTATCATCAAGTGTGAAGTAGAAAGATATCATCTTCCCCACCCCTTTCTTTTGCTTTTTCAACTAGGTAATACTGCCTGAATACTGTAATTACTATTGGTTTTTGAACTTTGGCAGTAACGTAGAGAAACTCACATACTGATTTCAGACATCCACAAACACCCCTGTCCCGGGCAGAATTCGAACTCGCAATCCTTTAGTTAAGAGCCAGCTATGGCCCTTCAGCCTTAGCAACCTCAGTTATCCAGGCGTCTTTGTTATATTATCTGCGACTATATTTAAGCCCACAATATCACGTGGAACTTTATTTATGTAAGTGTTTTTAAAGCAGTATTTTTATTTTATGAGAAATTTTACTTGATTAAATTAGCAGTAAACTAATCTTTATCTTTATTACTCACCCGGGTACGACCGAGCCATTCACTTGTTGCATCAAATAAATCATTTAATTTTTTTGCAGTTTCATTAGGAACACGTATTGTAATAGTACTAGTGTCCAATATTACATCACAACCAGATACACACTCACCCACAGTTTTCTTTCCTGTATCTACCTCCATGCTGAAAAACATTAATTTGCAATGTTATTATTTTCCTCGGACAATGTAAGAAAAAATTTTTACTCTGTTCTTATGGGACACCAAAGAAAAAATAATAAATAAATTAAGGAATAAAAGAAAAAACCAAAAGCAGAACCTTGTTTGGTTGATAATCTGCTACACGAATGATTTGGTTTTATTAAATAATCCTTACATAATACAGCAGCTGATTAAATCACATATGAAATGACATAGTCTTGAATCAAGAGGGAAAAATATTAAAGCACCTACCTATATGTATCTATTTTTGTACACTCACCTCGAATTATTAAATCCTGATATTAAAATAATAATAATGATAATAATAATTTATTTTTTTAAGTTACAAATGTTCGTGATTTCACAAATTACAATAGTGGAGAAAGATATATTAGTTGGGATTAGAGTCAACAGTGTAACAGTTAAAGATCATCATTTCATGTTCCGCAGCATCAAAGCATAGTGGTGTGGCAGGCATATCAAACTAGTGGTACTACACAATGGCACAGACTTTTTAGTACTAGTGATTCTCTTTATCTCTTCAGTTTAGTCTATCTATTTAGTTTTGCCCTTCCCTCTTCTCAGCTGCTATTTATTGGCACCTAGAACATTTGTTTTCACATTTCTTCAAATTTTTGTATACCTAATAGTTGAATTGAAATGTCTTTAAGTATATAATGCAAGAATAAATGCTGGTTACCTACATAATTACATTGAAAAATTTGGAGTGTTTTTTAAGAAAATGTCATTTAAGCATTTCTGAAAATTGGCACTTTGAAGCTCATTTTCAACCAAAACTAGTTGTCAAGAAACTTCATAATAAAACATTTTCAGCACTGGTATTTACAAGTACAATAAAATATATAAAAAAGCCTGTATTGCAAATATTCACATGCCAGAAATTCTAAAAACATTACATTTTTTAATTGTGGTAAACAAAAGAATAAAGCAAAGTTGTTTTATTATGAAGCTCCATAATTTACATTCAGCTCAGTAATGACTATCGAAACAATTTATGGAAAACATTTAAGAGCCATACAAAAAATTTATGGAAAACATTTAAAAGCCATGCAAGAAATTTACGGAAAAAAATTTAGAGCCATTTTCAAGAAAATTGAACATGAATGTATCTCAAAATCCACTATTTAGAGCTGATTTGCACACAAAAGTAATGGGTTTTCGAGAAATTTTATCAGACATCATTTAAAGCATGTGTAGTCACCAATGCAATTATGTAAACAATTCACTGGTAATGTAAATATTAACAATGTGACAGAAATGTTAAAATATTTCATTTAATTTACTTAACTTTATATGTAAGTTTTGAAAGAGTTTCATATTTTACTGAAATTTATTTTTAAAAAAATTTCATGATTTTAATGAAAGGACCATTTATGGAAAATTAATTTCATATGAAGGAAAAATCTCTATCTTCCATTTTGCAATTAAGACACCAAAAAATACTGATATTTTTGCAATTTTTGGAAATTTAGAGTTCACATTGACAATTGGAGCTTAACCATCATTGAAAGTGTTTTTACACTATTCTTACAAGAAATTTAAAGAAAATAATTTTGAGCCATTTGTGAGAAAATTTTGAAGATGTCCCAAGAGCTTGAAAAGTACCCTCCAAATTTGAAGAATGTTTTTCAAAATCGCACAGCTTTCAGCCTGGCCACTGAGGAATTCTCATTTTGGAAAAAATCCTACAAATAGTTTAGGCAGGACTGTTGTTCACAGACAACTGAAGGAAGAAAGAAGGGGAAAAAAAGAAAAGAAAAATAAATTGCACATATACCCACGCACACTCAAACTCACTCTCACCTGCACACGCACGTACACACTCACAATCAATCAATACTTTTTCAGTATCAGGGGACCCCAATACTTGAATATGTGGTGAAATCTTAAAATAGATTTTCTGCAGCATTACATAACTTTCTCTACACTAGATGTACACATAGACTGTAGGTATGTACCTATACATGAAAGACAAAATCACATTTAATAACTTAAAAAATATGTATTCAACTTTAATATTTGAAAATGAATTTCACTTAAATAAATTTTCTTTCAATTCAAAGTTAAGTTGCAAAACATAATTGACAATCAGGTACTTTGTTCTTTTACTTTACATGCCGCTCGTTTTTGCTAATGCTGCTGATTCTCATATCTTTAAAAAAAATGGACAAATCAAAAAATTATATTTTATGATGATACATTCTCCATGAAATTGAACTTGGGAGTCAAGAGTACATAAAAATATACTTTTATTTTTAATCTAATCAGAGGAATAGAAAGACATCAAAAGATTTGTGTATATGAATAATAGTAATGCAAATAAAAAACCCCAAACTTACACGAAACACACAATGTTAATACTTAGTTATTTAAAATACTTCATTATAAATACCAAAAATTAACAATTTTATGTTTGAAAGTACTGAGAAAAATAAATAGTGCTTTATTCAAAAGTTACAGTTTCATTGCCTACTTTGCTAGAACTGATATAAAATAACTTGGTCATGAACATTCAAGTACATAATAAAGTTATTTCCACAAAATTTTAAAAAAACAACACCATAAATCTGAAAGCAGTCAAAGTGATTAATTCAAATTTCCCTACATTTCAGAGCCTGACTTTTAACTCATCTCATAACTGATGAGAGTGAATACACCGTTTTTGTAAAGTTGAGGAATTATTAACATTGGGACACAGTTTACTAAATTTCATCGATTTATTACAAAGTCATGATTTTCACAACCATAGGAACTTTAAAAATTAATTTCTGAAAAGTAAGGAAGTTTGTCTCTACCACTTGTTCCTGAACATACAAAAATATGAAAAGCGATGATTTTAACTTACCGATCCATTTTAATTTTCCAATATCCCCTCTCGGTAACTGTAAAGTATGTAAAGGATCCATTGTAGTGTTTAGCTTCTGATCCTCCCAATATTAGATTACCACCTCTTTCAGAAGTGTGATCTCTACATGAAAAAAAAAGTTTTTAAAAAAATAAATAAATGAAAGTTTTTAAAAAAATAAATATTTTAGCGATTTGTAGGTAAATAAGTATAAACCTATTAAAATAAAATGAGAAAACAGGTTGAGCAATAGCTCGTTGTTGTAGTAAACTGTAGAATATTGGAGTTACACCATCAACTGATATGCTACTAAATCCCAGACCTAAAACACCGTCTGCTTTATTCATAGCAAAGGTCATAGGTATGTTCACTGCTTCAGCAAATGTTATGTTTTCTACTGTAGTATGTGCAATCTGAAAGATACATATTTACACCATGAAGAATTTCACATTTATAAACATTCAAAATACTTCTAACTTTTTCATGATAAAATAAATTTTTAATTTTTCTTACATTGAATACATCTGTTGATAAAAAGCCTTTTAAAATTCCTGTATTACCAAAATCAATTTTAAATGTTGTTCCATTTGGGTAATATGTTGAGGATGCCTTTGAGTTATATTTTCTATGTAGTACTGAAAAGAAACAAAGTTTGAAATTAATATGGAACATTGTATCCACAAAGAATTTGTTGCAACTTATGACAAAAGTATTGCTTTGTTTGCTTTCTTATGCAGGTCTAATGTTATCACCAACAGTTAACATTTTCAATTTGCTGCCTACCATCATAAACACGTGATTGACACTATACCTCCAACTCGTTGAACTGCACAACAATACACACTTAGAACCACTGAATCCAATCCGTACCTATTGTCAAGTCATGAAATGGTAACAATAACAAAAATGCATTTAGCCAAACTTCCGAGCTCTACTAATTGTAGTTCAACAGGGAGTGGTTGAAAGAAATCTGCAATTTTCACTCAGTCATTCAATTACATAAATAGACGCTAGAACATATGTTATGACAATCTTACATTTGATGAAAGCAAAATTCTCACACTTTTCAAATTAATTAGTATTAGTTTGTAACTATACAACTTACATATGTTCCAGACATGTTTATATGTTTCAGACATGGCAAAGTAATAATATAATTAAAATTTATCATTTTTTTGAATTAGTTCAGTTAGTTTGTAATATATATATAAACCAATAGAAACAAGCTGTAAAGCCTAATTTCTGGTCAGTTCATGATAATGATCATACAACCATGATGTTATCAAGTACATAAACATAATAGTTTAAAACCTCCAGTTCCATATCCTTAATACTTAATAATAATATTAAAATTATTATATGACTAATCTTTAAAAACATACTACCATTAGTTTACTAATATAGTTTAATCCACATTACTTACAGCATGGTGGGCTGAGCCAGGAACATTTTGAAGAAGGTATCCATGTGTTCCCCCAAGTAGTGTCAAACACCATTTTGAAAGGTTGCCCAGGATGTCCAAATTGGGCAATTCCATAAAATTCACTCTAAAAAGAAATAAGAGACACAAAATAATATTTTAAACTTAAAAAAAAAAGATTCCTACAGAAGCTCCCAGTCATAAGAAAAATTAGTAAAATCAAAACATATTTTAAACAGTATTTATTTTTTAAATCTTACATTTTCCCTTGAACATGTAATTCGTTTTTGTTTTTTTTAAAATTATTATTATTATTACTATTATTATTACTATTATTATTATATTATTGTTATTAATTGTACGTTTTTCTTTTTAACAGCACATTTTCAAAGAGGTAAATGAAAAATTAAAACAAACATACATCCATGTATTTAAAAAGAGCGACTGAATCATTTGTTCGATGGGGTTTTGGTTTAGACTTCAAAAAATATTCAAGATCGGATAAATCTGTTCCAACTTCTGCCATTAATTGGCGGGTTGATTTCATGCGGTGCAACGGGATGCTGAAAATATATTAAAATAAATTAGTTACCTAATTTCAATTTCAGAAATATGTTCTTCAATAATATTGCATTCAGTTACCTTATAAGCTGACATAATGTCACAGGAACTAGAATAGTAATATAAAGCGGTAAAAATTTCATTTTCGAATTTTGAAGCATCACAAGAGGAAATTACTGGCTTTTAGTCTTATTAGGAGTGTCTTAGTCCACTGAAGGTAATGAACTCTTCTTCAGATTCGGATACAATCAACGTTTCGTCGGTCACGGGACCACCGCACACCAGAAATCGGGCAATGCCGCCCGGCGCACAAGTATGATTTGATATGATTAACCAACATGTGATGCACCGTGCACTTTAGAACTGGCTGGAATAACAACCCAACATAACGTCACAGACCCGGATCTTTTCGGGTTACTCCAGGACCAATCTGCTGTCCAGATGTCACACTGCGTGGGAGCGACACCAATACACGCTCTGGCGAACACTGGCGAGCATGGTCAAAGAGATCTCTGTGAGGAAGTTGGAGTCTCTGGTCATATACTCTCTGGTTGGAGTAAGGGAACCAGAGAGGGGACTTCCCCGATGTCACGTGGTAAGTGACCGGCACAGGATACCAAACTAAACCATTACGCCATTAGCACTCATTAGTTTTCAGAACATTCCTAATACATTTAACGTTCTGCGAAATAACCATATTTTAATTTATTTATTAATAATAAAAATAGTATGCATTGATTTGCCGAACACGTGAAACGCCTCCGGTCCTGTGACATTTCCACGCATTCCTAACAACTCGAGGATATCGTTTATCTCATCCTATTAACGGAAGTGGCGGCGCCGTCATCATCGCAAATGTGCTGCCAAGTCGATTACAATTTACAAGCTGAACTTGCGATAGCACTTTTGGGAAAAATATTAGACTCTTATTACGAGAACGATAATTCTGAAGAGTTAAAAATTTAAATAAACATAAAGCAATAATAATTGATCAGCATAGACTGTTAACTATCAAAGTGTTTTTTATGGTATTTGTTTGTTGATAATTGAAAAGATATTATTTAGAATTATTAAGAAGATTTATTAATTATTATATTTATTAAGAATTACTTTTTTAATTATTAACGATATCTGTATATTTCTTTCTCTATTAATTTTTAACAACTGATCTTTTGTATTTAATTTGAAGGCCAAAATTTCACGATTGAATATTATCTTATTTTACTTGTTGGTTTCTGTTTAACATCTGCCAAGCTGCTTGTGCTGCCATAAAATGAACTCCCTTGAAAATAAAAATTTGCTCTTTGAAAATTCTCCGAAATAATTCATTTTTAGGATTAACTGGCTTTATGTGCAAGGAGATACTTTTATACCGTGCTGACCAGTACAGATCTAAATCACCACTACAAAATGAAATACCATCATCAACACCCTTGTTTATAGGAATGACGTTCCTGTGTTCTGGTGGATAGGAAAGAGGTATTTTTCTCGTTGTGACATGCTGTCTTCGTGTCGGTTGATCTACCTTTTGTCTGCTTTTTGCTTCCAGAATGTCAGCGTCGTTAACCGAATTGCTTAACTAGTCTCCGTAAAGTCTCGTAAGTTAAGCGACTCGAGTCCCCAAGGATTCGTGGACAGGTGACCACGTGCATACGGACAAGAGGCCTAGAAACCATTATTCCAGACCTCTTGCTTACGGCACGTAGCTCGTGGCCGTAGGGATAAAAGGCACTGCGACATGACGAGGCATACCCAAGTTGTTATTGTTATAATAATAATAAAAATGGCATGCAAAGGCTGCCTCCTTGTGCAGGGAATTATTAATGAATCACAGGGGTTATCCAATTAGCGTAAGTATACTTAATGATTGAAATACAATTCAAATAGAACAGAAAAAAATGAGAAAACTGAGAAACCAGAAATGAAAGATATTTGTAAGCAAGATAAAGTAATCATAATAGAATTAGTTTTTATTCACCAGAATCACCTCCAAAATCTTTTCCAAAATATTCTCTTGAACAGCAAATACCAACTTGTTCATCAATCCAAAGAGAAGCAACTTCAAAAACGTGTAATACAGACAAAAAATTTCTAAACATGTCATAAGTCTACTTCAAAAAGTTCTCATCATCAATAACTTTTAAGGAGTATGGCTAGTTGCTTTGAATTCAGTATTTTCTTAGGTGTTCCTCCCACCTTTTTCTTGACCTGCCTCTCCTTTCTCTTGGTCTATATTTCAGATTCTGTTTTGGGAATCTAACTAGTGTAATTCTTCTTACCATTTACTTACTTTCTTTGTTACCTTTCTATTTCATTAACTATTCTCCAATGAAAATGGATTGGAAAGAGCTTGGATGAAAATGGATTCGCTGGATTTGACATTATGGAGTCTAATTTTTATGGGCAATTATTTTAAAACCTCAAACTGCCCACCAAATCTAACTTTTGATCCTTTGGTCATGTTACAAAATTTTCTTCTTATTTCTGACAAAATTTGTTACATTGATTCTATTGTATCTTGCCAATTTTACACCTGCCTTTCAAAAAAAGTATCTTATTTCCTAAATTGAAGGAGTTTACTATTCTACTACTCAAAACCTAGATATTGAACTGAATTTACCCATACATCTGTTAGAGAACTTGAGAAATAATAGTTAATATTAATACAATAATATTACTACTGCTGCTAATAATAATAATAATAATAATAATAATAATAATAACAACAACAACAATAATAATAATAATAATAATAATAATAATAATAATAATAATAAAATAAGTAATAAATTTAAAAATAAATATGTCTTTATTGAGTGATGAGGCGATGATCAAACAGCATAACAAAATGAGTGTGGGCTTACCCAAAAAACTTCTCCGGACCCCCTTTATAAAAATGTATAGCAAATACAAGTTATGTTCGTACCTTAAATAATAAAAATATCCCCTAAAAATAGGCCCCTTTTTATCCAGGCTCGCCCGCATTGTGGTTGCACACATTATGCCACTGCAAACAGCTTCCCTTCTGCTTAAATACCTAAATTTACATTGTTATTGAACATGAATGGGAGGTATAGAAAATTTACTAGTAGGTTAGTTCTGGAAAGGCAAATAAGGGACTATCTTGAAATTTCTTAAGTGTTTATGCAAACAAAACTCAAATCAGAAGCTTGTAGCCAAGTATAAGAAAAACATGAACACAAAAACATTATAAAATTGTCAATGTTTTCACTTCATGGACATTCATTTCAAGGATTTGCCTGTTCTGATCTCTTGACAGTGTCTTTCCATCGGGTTCTAAGTCTTCCCACATCTCTTCTTCTTCTCCTTGGAATGGGTGACATAATAGCTTTTGGATATTGGTTACGCTCCATCTTCTCAATTTGGCTGTTTGTTCTATACTGTTCTATCTTATTGCAAAGGGAAAACGTTTATTCATTCTTGATGTCTGTGTTTTTTATTTTACCTTTTCTCCTTTTCATTCTTCTCAGAAAATGCATTTAAGCAACCTGAAGCTGACTCCAATCTTCATTCTTATTGGTCCATGACACAATTCCATATGTGTAGGTAGGAACTGAGATAACTTCATAAAATTTGAGCATTGTGTCTCCTAACCCTGTTTCTTCATGGTTTATTTATTACACCCCATATCGTTGGAATTTGTGAATTTTTCCTTTACAATCTTCATTGTATTTGTATGTAATGTGGCAACCTAAATATTTAAAACTGTCCCATTATATTGTTTTCTAGAACAATTTTGTTTCTAATTCTAAACTTTCCACTGAATCCCATTATTTTTGTCTTAGAAGTGGAGATTTTAACATTATACTCTTTGCCCATTTGATGTAGAAGAGGCAGGAATTTTGAATGACATCTTCTGTTTCTTGCATTAGAAATATTATATTATTAGAAAATGCAAGAATGTCAAGTATAATATTTCTGTCGAAATTAATTACTTTATTTACTGAATTTCTTATCTTTCTAAGAGCATCATTCAAATATAATAATAATATAATATTATAATAATAATAATATTTATTGAGTCACATATACAATTACAATCGTGTATGACAAGTCAATATGATGCCTTGGATGGAGAGAGCGAAGTTACTGTTCAGGAGCAAACAAGGGGTCATCTCAGCATTTGCTCAAAGGACCAGGGAAACTGAACAAAATCTGATCGAGATGGGGTCATTGGCTTAGAAATACAATACTTGTTACTGTTTGATTAAGATATTATACAATAGATAAATTATCTGCTAATAATTAACATTTCAAGATGTTATTTTAATGCTACTACTTATAATAATAATAATTACATTAATAATAATAATATTGGAACAATACATATTAATTATGTTTGCAACTACATCAAATTTAACAATAGTAGTACATTCTATATTTAAAACTTGAAACAGAAAGTCTAATGGGATAAGAAATTCTTATTTATTTATATTTTTTAAGGGAAATGTTGTAATTTGAAAATTCCTTTACACTGTAGAACATGTTAAGCAGGAAAGCTTTCAATTTACTTTTAAATGTGTGAATTGTGTTTATGTCTTTAATATCATTGCCTAGTTTGTTGTAAAGTGTAATGCCCTCTAATTTTTTTTTCTTTTTTTTTTCTTCTTCTTTTTTTTTACTTTGATTTTTGTATTTGTGCCCATGCTTTTGATAGTTTCTATTAGGTGTTTTGGGTAGCCTTGATAGTTCATTATTTCTCATTTTTTGGTGTGGACACAATTAAAAGCTTTTTCCACATGATCAAAGGCTATACAAGTTTCTTTATTAAATTATCTTCTCTTTGCAAATAATTCATTTATTGTGAAGATGTTATCCAACCATGGACTTAATCCATTTTGGGTTTCGAGTAATAATGCCTCTACTTTCGGCTTCAACCTCTCGTTTTCAATTTTCCCATAAATCTTGTAACTAGCATTTAGAAGTCTAACTCCTCTGTAATTCTCACAACTATCTATTCCATTTTGGAAAAAATTGGAATTATTTTGTCAGTCTTTCATGAATCTGGTACAGTGGCGGTTTTCCAGCATTTCTTGATAAACATAAGCATTCTCTTCAAGAAGAATTCTCTTGCATTTTAAAATGTTCTGCATTTAAACCATCTGGACTAGTGGCTTTTCTATTCTTTATTGACGTAACTGCTCTAATTAGTTCATAGAGATTTCATCTACTTCAACTGCAGGATACATTTTTTTCAATTTGTTAGATTGAACCATAACTTTTACAAATATTTTACCCATTTTCCTCTATGTTGTAAATGTGTATGGCTATCATGGTACACACACTAGGCTTTTACTTTATAAGCTACATTTTATTTATCATGGATGTCATGCTCAATATTTGTGATGAATCTGTCCTATGAATTTTGGCGTGCTTTCCTTCATATTTTTTTGTAAGGTTTCTTATTTCTTTATATTCTTTGAAAAGATGTTCTGGAGGATTTTGAAGATATTTTAAATATTTTTCCTCCTCCTCTATTTCTTTGCTATTTCAATATTCCAGATTGTTAGACCATGTCGTATATTTTCTTTTTTTGCCAACTGCTTCACCAGCACTCATGTGAATAATGTTTGTTATTCTACTCCGTTCTTTATTTATATATTCAGATATTGGGTATTATTCAACATATTATAATTCTTGCTTTTGATATAGTTTTCTTATATTTTTGATACATTTTCATTTGTACAAAAATGTGTTTGTTGTGTTACACTTTAAAAATGTCTTGTTTTGTTATATTGTATTTTTTAGGATAATTTCCTGAAGTCACCCATCTTGCCAGAAGGATGATATGCAACATTACCAGAAAGTGATCAGAAGATAGGTCACATCCTCAACAGACTCTTATATTGCTTACTTGATTTGTGAAGTTTTGGTTTGTAATTATATAATCAATGATCTAGTTTTTTCTCTCCAGGTGAATTGGTGTATTTCTTTTCTTCTAAAGAATCTATTTGTAATTTTCAGGCTGTAAAAACTGGCAAATAATATCAGATTTTTTCTATTTTCATTTACATAAGATTCTTCAAAGCATCCCAAGACATCTTTGACTAGTTGGTTACCCACTCTAGCATTCAAATCTATTGCAATTATGAGATTGTTGCATGTGCATGTCTTGTTAAGTACTATTGGTAATGTTTCATAAAAGTCATGTTTTCTCGTTTAATCCACTTCTGGGGCATGTCCCCAATAACTGTTAAGTGTCCTCTTTGTGTTTGGAATCTTAGCACTATTATTCTTTCATTAATACAATTATAATGGGCTACAATTTGTGAACACTTCAGGTTGATTGTAATGGCTACTCATTTTTCAGCTCTTTGTGTATTTTTTACCTCAGATGGTCAGATTTTAAAATCTTGTAAGTCTTATTTTCGTGAAAAATCATATTTAAATGCATTCAGAATCATTAAACAACTGCTTAACATGTGTTGAAAGCTTGCAAGCTTATTCTCACAAATAAGGAGCCAAACAAATAGATTGTCTTCCAAGTTCTGTTGATGCACTCCTGTAAAATCATTCAAAACACTTAAGTGCTTTTAAAATCTGACCATCGTGTCTAAATTACTTGTTTCTTTCAGTTTCTTATTTGTTTCTATCATTATAGCAATATTAATTTTCATTCTTGGCCTTTCGTTTAAGAGTTGTTGTTCTTTGAAAGATAACACTCTTACATTCCAAGAAGCTATTTTTAGTACTTCCACAATCTTAGTGTATTTTTCCTTTTTCTTGCTGGGTCTGAATTCGTAATCCATCTATGTAATTCTTTGAGGCTTGCCAGTAAATATAATTCTTCTCACTGGCCATGTTATGAGCATGGATCAGAGCTAGTTCAGTATGTGCTGCCCCCTCTCTTCTTCTGAGCATGTTTTATACAGGACATCTCCTTAGGTCTGCCTTCACTACCAGACATCTCCCTTCACTTTGGTTCAAGAATCACACCTACAGCCTTGGGATAATGAAGAGAAAAATAAAGTAAAACAGCAGAGGGGAGGAAAGAAATAAAAAGAATTAAGTAGGAGGAAAGAGAAGAAAAGAAAATTAAATGACTCCATAGTCCTTGAAACCTAATAATGTGGGAGTTAAAAACAGAAGAGATCATAGCAAACGTAAGTGGAAGAAATGCTGTACTTGAAGTAGATAGATCATCCTCCATGTGAGCATGGGACTGGCAGTGGCCATTGTCCCAATGCTGTTCAGCACACCCTCAGGTGCATCAAATAACTCAGCTCAAATACCAACAGCCACAGGCGGAGTTGAGTGTAGATATATAGAATCTTGTCTCAAAAAAGATTTATCATAGTGTAAAGGAATGTGAGTTTTCTTGGACTATGTTCTCCTGGTGATGTCATTACCGAACAGACATTTTGCAATCTTTTCTATATTAAACCGTTATGTTGGATCCCATGATATAAACACTTGTGTTTCTTACTTTTTATGTTACAAATATGTGTCTCTATGTCAAAAAGTGTTTGTTGTTGGTTGTGTGTGTGTTTTTTGTTTGTTTGTTTGTTTCTTTAGCTGATTACTTCTGACAAAAAATAAGATTAAGTAAATAAGTAACAAGTATTTGTGTGCTGGTCATTGTTCACAATATTTTTTTTGGATAATAAATGTGCGAGTGCTCTCAGGGGCATTTCCCCAGAATATTATTCCATATTTTAGGCGTGAGTGCACATTTGCAAAATACATTGTTCAAAGTGTCTCAATGGAGCTTGACCTGAGGGTGTATAGGGTACAGCAAGATTTGCTGAGCTTCTTGTTAAGATTTGAGATGTGAGCATTCCAATTTATGTTTTCTTGAATTGTTAGTCCGAGGAAGGTAGTTTCATGAGGTATCGTTACAGGGTTATTGTTTATGAGCAAATGCTGTGAGAGTTTTTCTTTAGATCGGGGATTCATGAAATTTAGAGATACTGTCTTGCTGGTGTTTATGATGAATTTGTTCTTTTGAAACCATTTTACTGGTGCTTGCAAAGTTTTGTGAGTTTCTTTTTCTAATGATTGTTATGTTTTTGCTTTGATGATTATGTTTCTCATCTGCAAACAAAATTACTTTCTTGTTGCTTAAAGCCAAAGGCATGTCATTTATGTATATAAGGAATAGTATTGGTCCAAGGATGGATCCTTGCGGGAGTCCACAATTTATTATTTGAGGGCAGGAGTGGCATGAGGAGAGTTTGTTTTCTTTAGTGTGCTGGAGGGCAACTATTTGGCTATGGTTTGATAAATTTGATTTGATCCATTGACCTGCACTGCCTTGAATCCCTAGCATTTCTAGTGTTCTCAAAAGTATGTGATGATGTCAAAAGCTTTTCACAAATCCAAGAAAAGGCCTATGGGAATATCCTTCTGATTTAGTGCAACAAGTATGTCATTTAAAAAGGAGATGGCTGTGTCTGTGGATTTATTACTCCTGAAGTCATGTTGTGCTTTTGTAAGGATGTTATTTGCATTGAGAAACTGTTCAAGTCTATCATTGAAAAGTCTTTCCAGAATTTTTGAAAATCCTGATAACAGGGAGATATATCTGTAGTTCATTGAATCATAACTATTGCCCTTTTTAAACAATGGTTTAATTTTTTGTTTTGCACATATATCTGGGAATATGCCTGATTTTAGAGAGTAATTACAGATGTGAGAGAGTGGTTGCACTATACATGGAGCACTGTTTAATAAGAATATCTGGAATGTTGTCAATGCCTGCAGAGAATTTATTCTCCATTTGACCAATGATTTTAAAAATTTCAGAGGGGGTGGATTCATATAAAAATATGGAATTTACAATTTGTGTAATATTAGTGTTTGGTTGGTGTGTTTAGAGTGTTGAGAGATTAACTTATTACTAATTTGTGAACAGTGTTCATTGAATATATCAGCTATTTCTTGTGGGTCTTGTAGTGGAGCTCCATATTTTTTCTGTTATTAGTTGGTGCTGTAGTCTTTTCAATGTCCCACATAGCTTTTGTTTTATGTGCATTTGCAATGTACTTATCATTTGTCATAATTTTTGCTTGTTTGATTACTTTTTTTAGGATCGAATTATTTGTTTTGTATTATGAAATGAAGTTTGAGTTACATTTGTTAGTATTTTAAGTGTGTTTAATGTTAGTATTAATAGCAAATATGGAGAGTATGTTAGTATGGTAAGATTATCTTCCTTTTGATGAGAACATCGCATAGGCCATGCCTTTCCGTATTGTTTTTTAGGGTCTTCCTTCACATGAATGTCTTTTTCTTTTGAATGTGCTTTTGTTTCACAAGCCCATTGTGGTAATTCGTAACTTCAGTACATTTATGTACTTTTTCAACAACACAAAAATCTTTGTATTTCCAACTATTCATACACAATTTCAATAAATTAGCTTAATGAATTAATTGTTTTTTGTGAGCCATGTTTCAAAATACATATTACATTTAAAGATAATCTTGTAATATTAAGGGAGAAAGTAGTTACCTGGACTAAAAATTCGTTTTTCAAACACTTTTACAAAGTCTAGGCATAATTATCTCCAAGTTAATTAAAGTTTCAGCAGGGAACTGCAAATTGTTTTTGTTGAATTATGAAGGAGTCTTTCACTTCTGCACCCGATAAATCCATTACATTCCCACCGGCAATGTTTCCTTTAAACTCGCACTAGCACACATTTGCTTATTGGGTCTCAGGAAACGTTTTAACTAACACATAGATTTGTTTCTAAATCCCAGGTTATAATACATGGGCCAATATCTTCATGCACTAGAAAAAATGGTAAAATATATAGATTTATGATTTTTTTACTATTGAAAAAATAATAACTGATGTATAACATATGTCTACACATGATTGAACTTGTTATGAATTAGGCTTTTCAAAAACTTTTTGATTACCCGTATTTCTAGGCATAGTACGTACTTTCCTGTATTGAATAAAAACTTATATTTCTCTGCCTATTTTAACATTTTACTTCAAATACGTTCTGCAATATAACTTTCAAAATTATTCATGGAACATTTTTTCTAATTTTAGTGTAAATTAAATTAGAAATTTTAACTTAAAAGTGGATTTGGAATTAACTTCAAAATATATCACAATGTTGAGAATATTTTTTTTGTATTATATGATGCAAATTTTTATTTTAGAATTAATTAAACATCAGATAACTGGAAATTTAGTAATTAATTTCAGTAAAGCTGCACAAGCAAAAAATAGACCATTTGAGTAAGGATTTGAATCAATAAATTACCTTTAGAAATAAAAAATTGTGGATTAAAGAATTTAACAGAAAAATTATAAAATACAAAAGTAGAAAATTAATTTCATTAATAGTAAACAAAACATACCTATAGATGTAAGCAATGTAAATATGTACTTAATGTAACAAATAGCAATAATTTTGTTTATTTATCCTTCTCGATATGTACTAAGATGTAATGGACGAGGTTACAAATTCTGAACTTTAAGTGCCCCATAAGGATTAAGGAACTCGCTCTCACGATCATAATGTTCAATTAACATAGAACATTTTTGGCCCTTATTTGAATATCTATCCCATCTAAATCCTAGCCCTGGAAATATCTATTTACTCCCTTGAAACTGCTGACAGTAAAATTGGTGTTTCTTCGCAAGAGTGATCACTTTTACATCAACTTTAATAGCAAATAATCAACCAAGTACTTAAAGTATAATATCCAGAGAATGCCTTGGCCCCTAGAGCATTCTCTCAATTGCATCTCAAGGCAATTCATTACGTATGTACAATTACCTAAGTCAGTGCATCCTCGTGCACTTGTTAGGGTAGCACTTTCAATATGGGAGGATTGCAACATTTGTTCAAGTAAAACACTGAAGGAAAATCATAATTATTTTATATTCTAAAACTCCCTAATCAATTTTCACACTAAGGATGACAACTAACATCCTACTCTATTGTAATGAGTTACAAGAATGGTTACTTGAACATTTGTTGCAGGATATAAGTAGGTAAAACAACTCCAAAAGAACTATAATGGAAACTAACTCTTTATTGCCATTATGAACTAATCAAAATGTCAACACAGAATGACAGCATATACAATCTGTACATGTATTAGTTTTACCCTCTAAATGCAAATGTGGTATGTTGCTCATTACACAATTTCTTACATACACTTGGCAAAGTGTTTGTACTTGTTTACTGTTTTTAGTGAGATAACTTAGATCAAATACCAACTGTAACTGTGTGAAAATACAGAATTTTCTGACCATGAAGAAAGCAATAAAAAATGTCAGTTATATAAAAAAGCAAGTAGAAAAAATTGAGTTTTCCATTTAAGAAAGAACACAGTATGGTGTAATTAGACTGTCATATTTAGAAGTATATCAAATATGGTTGCACTTATATTAAATTGTACACTACCAACATTAGGTATATAAACTATTGTTAGTGATTGTAAAAGGGGGGCAAGATTCAAATACTACAAAACACAGAGTTAAGTTCCCCACAACACTTAGTACTGAACTAACACATACTGTGAAAGAGACACTTCTATTCACCTGGATCCTAAGTTTTATGTAAGTCTCCTAGCCATTAACTGAAAACAAAAGAAATCTTGATTCCAAGCATATGGTCCAAGACCATACCTGCTTTGGATACAAATCTTACACAGCTCGCAAAATGAAACATTTTGAACATAAAACATGAAGTGGTATACATCCACATGAAATTCAAAACAAAACGTAAATGAAATTCAACAAGAACTGCTGCAGAACAGAGAAACAGAAATGGATTTAAAACCATAATCCATGCACTTAATTTTCTACACCTAAATTAAATTATATGCACCAGACACAGGAATGTTAAGGGAAACAAATAATAAAGAACCAGGAAGAGAAGACAACACAGTAAATGCAGTTCAAATCCGCCTCTCTTCCACACACAGCTTGGAAAACAAGTTAGCATCATGTTGCGAAGTGTGACGTTCATGTGGGTGCTGCAACATAAACTTACACCTCGTTCATCAAACTTGGTCCCACCAATAAACACACACTCACAACAAGTGATTCATTTAAATTAAGAAACAAATCAATGGAGTTTTGTACAGTTAGGAGTCTTAGGCAACAGCTTCAGCCTCCCCATTTTCTGTTGGAGCTTGAGCTTCTGCCTTCTCCTCCAGTTTTGCTTTCTTCTCCGGACTTACACCTTCAGGAACAGTGCCGTCAGGGGCATCTCCACCTTCCGACTTTCGCTTGGCTCCAACCTCCACAGAATCTGCAGAGCAAAGAAAATCCATCAATCACACAACATAAACCCAATAAAAATTCAGTTTTCGTAACGAGAAACGCAAACATTACCTGTAGAATCACCATTTTCTGTTGTCTCACTGTCCTTCGAGTCTCCTGCACCCTCCTTCTCGTCGGTTGTACCATTTTCTTTCAACTTGTCAACACCATTGTCAGAAATTTTCGAGTCTTCGTCGGTCTGCTCCACCTTTTCGACCTCCTTCTTCTCGGGTGTGCTGGGCACAGTCTCCCTAAAATCGTAATAATGGTTTAAAAGATATATCAAATCGAGTTATCCCGCCTTACACAGATACTCGTCAATCGACACGATACCGCCACCCAATTCGACCACTGCATTCCCCGCGCCAATATGAATCGTACGGACTTACACTCCACCGAATGTTTGTTTGTCCGATAGTACACCTTTACCAGGCTAACTATCCAGTATCAAACCAGCAATGCATTCTAATACGAATTTTCTAAAAACTATACACCAAATTAACATATCGTAAAAAAACCGGTCCAAAAATACAAGTACTTCCTTTCTAAAAAAACATAATTTAACTATTAGCCGCTTTCAAAAATATCAGCACGCTTTCATGTACCAACTTAATCAATAGTACTGCACTCGCAATTTACAAATAATTTCCAATCAGAACTATGTAAAAATGTGTTAGAACTCAAATAACTTCATGTATTATTACTCGGAACACTCACTAACAGCAATACGAAGCATTACGAATTACGGCTTCTCTCTCGAAATGCACGCGCCATCTTAACTAGTGCCCGCCAAAACAAAGACCTCACGATCATTCACTCATATTTATGTATTTACTGCTCTCAAAGTCATTAAATATACTTACTTTGTATCAGCAACAGTATCTGCCATTGTTAGTTCAACAAGAACCACACTAGAACACTAATATCCAACAAATTTTCGGACTTTAGTCGGAGAGGTCACGTCACACAACCGCCGCTCACAAACGCACAAGTGAAAGAGAACAGCGCTGCGCATGTTCCGTCTGACCTTCAAACTAATAATTTCCCGCGTTTAATAGAGGGCTCTGCTGTCGCTCTAGCTCTTTATTTCTATCGACTGTTTAAACGAATTTTTTAAGTATTACGACTCTTCTCGAACTCATTTCGTCAATTCTTTTCGTAAATTTATTGAAAGGTATTTGCTCATTGGTTAGAAACGAAACAACACGGACATACATATATCCTCATGTGGAAAGAAGTGGGGGATGAGTGAGACTTCAATGACCTAGACTTGAAAGCATTACGGTTTCTTAGAAAATAATACTACGAAACAATAAGTGATATACTTGTAAAGCGTTTAAAAATCACCAATCGTATTACTTTCTATGCAAATTCTTTGAAAGTACTAATTGTTCAAGTAGTCGATATATAAATCCACGTACAATTAAAAAAAATATTTCGTCACTTATGCGCTATCAATAACTATATAATCGTTTTAGTTTATTTTTTTATTACAGTACGTCGAAACTCTGCTACATAAATCAAACAAAGATAAACCAGAACGGAAAACAATTATGCCCTTATTCAACGAAACCTTTTGGATCAATTGGGACTTTGTAATACTTACTTTCTTGTCTAATATTGTATTTCGAAGGAATAATTAGGAAAGATGAAATATTTAATATGCTTTGTTCGGCTTAAATTGATGTAATACATTGCCGAAAATTGTTTAAACTTCATTTTTAACAAATGAATTGTGAAATTTTGTTAGTTTCTGTGTACACCATATACTTATTTATCTTATGAGGCATGCATATCTTTCATTGACATGAATTGGTAGGAAGTTTGGGAAGAAATCAAATTCTGATATTTCACTGAAGTTGGTCCATTCTTCAGTGAAATAGAAGTGGCTTATTTTCATTTCAATAAACTATTTTGATACTAATAGAAGTTTAATTAATCGAAGTGCACAATCCACTTAGCACTTTTATTATTGAGGAACATATAAATAATGATATACACACTACACAAAGCGATAATTCCAATTTTTCAATTGCACAAGAAAATGTCATTACGCAAAGCATAGTCGCAATTGAAACACTTTCTGTAAGAAACGTATTCAGCTAGTAAATGCAGGCACAGGCACAACGCAGGCCAAGCGTGGATGCCCTGCCGGCCGGCGGCAGCTTGTAACGAACATTGCAGGAACACATAGCCCGCTCGGTGTAGTGGAATTTTCCCTCGCAATTTTTCAAGGCTTCACGAGCGACTACTTGTGATTGGTTGATGTAGTGAGCCTTGCAACCAATCCGAGGGTAGGACCTTCTGCCTTCATAAAGTGAGATCAATAGTAGGCCTGTGTAGAACAAGAGTGTGTTCTCCTATCCCTTTCGGTGTCTTTCGTTCTCTGTGCCTTTTGAGTCAGCGACTTTCTACGTTCTCTTCGGGTTCCGTTCATTGGAAGTATTCAGTCATTTTTTCTGTTGCATTTAGAGTTTCTTTATTACTTCTTTCCTCTCCACTTTTCATGATTAAATTGGAACTTTCAAGCCTTTTGTCAAAATGCATGAACTAAAATAATTATTTAGATTGAAGAATACACAATTACACAATTCGTTAGCGAAATTCGAGTTCGATCGTCGTATGCCACGATCCTGAACGAAGAAAACGTAATCATACCACATAATAACCAGTCATTATTATTATTATTATTATTATTATTATTATTATTATTATTATTATTATTATTATTATTATTATCTCTTATCATCTACATTTTCAAACCTGTTTCATTCCGTCAAGATCCTACTTTTTTCAAGTTTAGAGTCTTTTCTTTTTTTTCTGCTTATTTTTCTTCTTCGGACTGAAAAGAAATTAAATGTAATTTTAGGCTTCTTTTTGAATCGAGAAACAATGCAGCTGTTGTACGTATGATTAGAACGTTTTCTATCAATTTATCAATACTGTGGTAAGAGTTAGATGCATATTTTATTCACATAAAACAAAAAGTTACAATATATGTAAGTTAGTGACTTTTGTTTGTTCGAAAAACGAGTGATTTTATTTTCTATGCTTTATCACTTTGTGTATGTCTCAAAGAAATTATGTAAACAATAATGATTAACAACATTGGGTTCAATGTTGTATCCGTGAAAATAACTGACCTAGGGCAGTGTTTGCCATTTTGCCATATCACTTACAGCCAACATTAGTCATGGTTTCTATTTTGATTTTTTGTTTTTCCACGGAGAACTAGTTTTTTCTTGCCATTTCCACGTCATGAGAAATAGGCTCTCTAAAATTAGTCTGAAAAAAACTGAATATTTTCAGGCTACTTTCGGAAAAATACTGACACAATTTCACTACACAAACACTTGTGCAAAAATTATTCAAATTTTGAGAAATGTTCTGTGTATGTATTTAATAATGTATATGTATAGTTGTAGGAGGGGTGCAAAACATGTTTTAATTTTCGAAAATTCTGATATCTTAATGAAAATCTGGCGTGCTTCATTTTTATTCCTTTATTCTAGCAAAAAAATTCAAAAATAATTGAAGCCTTTTTAAAAGAAATGTTGAATACGTAATTGGGGATCTGTGTAAAGTAGCCCCCTAAATAAAAATACCCCATTCAAATTCACGGGGCGGCATAATTTAATAATTGAATTGGGGACTGTTTGGGGACTAGGTGAAACAGTTTAGGCGCTATTGTTATTAATGGACAGATGTTTTGAGGAGAAAAAAAATTAACCTGTTTCAGGGACTCCTAAAACACGTATTTCAGACAAAATTTCGACATCGAATTTTTGCAGCATTGCATAACTTTCTTTATTACTTATACGAGAAGTATAAATAGGTATAACAATGATTAACATTGTACTTGTATGTCAAATATGTATTAAATAGAACTTAAATGGATCAGAAATATCAAGTTTAATCCAACAAGATTTAAAAAAATTAAGAGGCACTTCCTACCAACGTTCTCTTACTTTGAACTCATTTTAATATCCATAAGACATAGTTGAAACCATGAACGATGGCGCAATCGTAGCCACGTTACACCATTGGAGTATGAACAGTAATGAGATGTACCTTCCTTTGGCATCTCTAGAGGAGTTGGACCGGTATGAGGTGTCACCACGTGTCGAATTGCAAAGGGTGTCATCACGAAACAGTCGTCAATTTGATACAATATTTTCAGATGAGCAGCTTTAGATGGATTATTAATCTTCCCTGCCGCGTAGAAGACCATAACCATCTAAGAAAATACTGTCTTTTTAAATGTACCCCTCGCACATGAGTGAAAAGCCTTTATAAGCCGACAATGAAATTTCTCTAAACGACTAAATGACTTAGAGTACATGTTAAATTATTTGGGCAGATTTTATTTTATTGAATTTACATAGTAAATGATTACCAAAAACGTGGAAGACAATACTGACATTTCAGTGAAGTGGTTGATTTCGCCATCAAATCTACTTATTAAACTCCTAACAAGCGTATGCCCCGGAGTAACTCTATAAAGGATGATACTTGAGCTCAGACCAGCTGCTCATCTGGTTATGATAATAACATACTTGTATTATTATACGCGCATATAGTTGTCTTGGGCCTCAGAATCCCTACCTACACTGGCGGATCCAGAGGGGGGGTATGGGGGCCATGGCACCCCAAAAGGTCTAACAAAATCTTCGATGCCCCCCCCCCCCAATGATCGGCAAGATCCGCCCCTGTACTCCTTCACCGTTATTATCTGAATTAATAACACAAGATAGCAACAAGCATTGTTGACAAAATCTAATAACCCGAAAATTTTGCTTCCGTGTAATTGAAATTGTTTTGTATCGAAAAAGAGCTCAAGATTTGATATAATAGTCCTTCGTCGAAATAAAGCAAAACCCCACATCTCTTGCATCTAGTGAAGTAAGAGCTCAGGCCAACGTGGTTAATCGAGACAACTATTTTATATGCAATACCTTAAATCCTCATCCAAGTTGTAGAGAAAGTCAGTAAACAAATAAAATAAAATGTGTTCGTAATTTTACTTCCTACACACAGAAGAGAAAAGAAATGTGGATGCTAATGATTCAATCTAAATGATTTATATATGAACATCAGTGTATCAGATGAAGAATGAATTGCTGTTTATAGATTTACAATCAAATGAAAAGTCCTATTATTTGTTTGAAGGTGGTTCTGCACATTTACACAACATGCACACACGACTTTCCGTATTAATTTTCCTTGCCGTTTCTTTCTTTCTCCTAGCTTCGATTTGGTTACTCCTCCGATTTGGATCCCCCAAAATCCCTTACTTTGATCATCGCAGAGATGACTCGCTTTAAAATATCTAGAATTTAATAACTGTACTCCAGAAATGCAGATCTCATCCACATGATTATTGTAAACCTCTCATTATTTAGCTAGCAGTTCTACCACTGCCTTGCCTCTTGTTTTACGAATTAGTAGTTTTTGTCAAAAATGACTTACTCAACGATGAGAACACATTGTCAGCGAATTCATTCTCTACATCCAGACGTAGTAATCATATTCATCAGGCGTCAGAACCAATAACTCGCTACAAACAAATTCTCTTACAATTCATGTTCATTATTTTTAGATACTGCCAGATGGCATTAAACGATTAAAACTGATACACAAGTTTAATTGACAGTTTAAGTTTTTTTGTATACAATTAAAGACTATACACACTGGGATTACACAACTGAGACTATCCTATTAAAAAAGTAATATTGATTTTAATAATGTTATTTAATATATTAGTTACCAGTTGGACTGTGGAATTCTAGAAAACTAAATATGCCTGTTACAATTACTGTTCTTCAGCTTCCTGGTCAATGACCCACATCTCGATCACGTTCTTTGTCCATTTCCCTGATCCTTTGAGAGAAAGCTGAGATGCCCCTTGCATTGCTTTTGGGCATAAATGTAACTTCCTTATCTCTTCACAATTTACAGAGTTCAGTGGGAAATACAGTAATTCAAATTACACTCGTAGTTCTGAATGATTTCGCGGTAGTAAGTCGACTCTTACACAAAGGACAAGATGAGGGATAATAGCCCAAATCTGTATATGATTTGCCTTTGTCGACCTTCCTGCTTCCAAGTTGTTGTCTGATTCATAAATGTTCTTTGATTTTG